ATCCGAACCCCGGATCCATATTAACCCGGGTTCGATTGGTTGCCCATAAATCGGTCTCTGTTTTAACTATGGCCTCAAAATCCAAACAATTTTAAATTTCTGAATTAGGGCTCACAACCCTGGTGCAGTCTGCCGGGTTCTAATTGGAAGGGTACTTTATAGTCAACATAAATTAAGTTTATAGTGTTTAAATAAATTGTAACTGAGTACAAAAAAAAATTATATATTACCTATTAAATTATATTTTTTTAAAGGACAAGGCATAAATAAGTGATATGTTCAGGTTTTATTAATTTTATTAACAACTCGCTTTTATGTTTCACGGTAAATCGATATTTTATTATGTTTTTTTTTATGAAATACTGAACCGAAATTCAATGTCATATATGCGTGTGGAAGATACACTAATTATTATTATTTTGAAACATAATATATAAAACAGGTTGTTTAATTTTAATGAAAGGAAGAAGAAGGGGAAAAATGGATAGTATAATTTAATATAATAATCGAAAACTGTAATTGTTCCTCGATATTTTACCACTCCTCATTTTTAATTTGACTAGACGTTAAAGGTAGGGTTGTTAAAAACGACCCGATTAATATTTTAGCCAAATTAATTTTATGTAAGCCTAGAGATTTGGCAAAATGGAGATCAAAATCTTTCTCCCCATCTATGAGCAAAATCTCCAGACTTACATTAAAATCTTAATCGGGTCGTTTTTAAAAATCGTCCAGAAAAGGGCTTTTTAACAACCATGACGTCAGGACCCATTCCATACCATAATTTTTTTTTAAATTATCTATGTTTAAAATATATTTTTTCTATAAATTTCTTTCTTATTTTCTTTCTTTCTTGCTACGGAAAGGAGTCAGCTATCTTTGTATTTTGTAAATATTCATTCTCATCCACTTTCTTTAAACAACGTATCTTACTTTTTTATTTATCAGCTTCGCCCCCTCCCCCTCCCAAAATAAGAGATTTTTTTTCTTTTCTAGATCGCACATCAATAGCTCATTTATAATGTTTATTAAATCACCTAATTTTGACCATCTACAAAGATGGCTTAAAAGAGTTAGCTCACTCCTTATGTTGAAATTCAATTTCATAGGTTTAAGGATAAAATCATGATCAAACCATATAGGAGTGACCAATTGATTTAACAAAACACTAATCATTATTTAATGAGGATAGGAAAGATGAAGGTTTTATAATGAACAATCTTATTGGTAAGCAGTTATAATCACAGACAACCATGGAGCTTGAATGAATTGGAGAAAGAGCAATTATACACTGGAATATAAATATTTCCATGTCCTAATTCTATGTTTCGTCAGTAACAAATTTATTGTATCCAATAAAATATATTCAAATTATTTTTCTCATATTTACAATTTTTATTTATTGAAATAAGGATAAGAGAGAAGTTGGGGGGGGGGGGGGTACTCTTATATCAGATAAACATATAGATGTGCCTTATGTAAAAAAAATATTTACAGGCATACAAAATAATGTGATAGGAAATAATCTCCATGAAATCATATTAGACGTAGTGTTGTTCAACGGCTCATTTTGAGCCTACTCTTAAAAACGACTTATTCAATATTTTAGCCAGAAATATATTGCCTAAGCCTCAAGATTTCTCTAAAACCTTTGTGCCATCTATGAGTAAAATTTTCAGGCTTGTGTATTTTCTTTCTGAATAAAATATTGGGTTAGTCGTTTATAAAAAAAAAATCGGCTATATAATTTACTTTGCAACACGTTTAAGTCGCCGGAGTTCAGGTAAGGAACGAAAATTTTCTAGAGTATGAGATTTTTTTTATTAAATAAAATGAGATTCACTTTTTCTAATTTTACACAATAATTACAAAATAATCATTTTAAAAAGAGATCGAATTGGAAAGTATATAAAAAATAATTCTCAGAAATGTTAAAATAATTACTTATCAAAATCTTCCGCGGTTATTTAAAGAAAAAATCTGAAAAATAATCAGGAAAATTCTAAGCTTTCAGTAAATTTAATCCTGGGTAAGGATTCTAGTTAAAAATTAGTTTTTGCCTAGCATTTTTAATTTCTTTCAAAATTTATGTTGGAAGGGAGGGGGGGTTAAATATATTAGGGGTAACCAATGACATAATATACCTACACTGACGATTCATTCATTAAAAGTGTACATCAATGCAAATCAGCTGGAGAAGCCATATTGGATACACTAATCATTATTAAAATTTTAAACGAGTGCATAATTTATTCCTATATTTGATGCAAACTTTATTAAATACCGGATCATCGAGATAATAAGGAAGCAAGTTATCAATTTAATAGTAGTTTTTAACATGAAAATAATTTTAATAAAGGTTACCAAAATGGCGGGTTCAGCTGATTTGCTTTTAACGACGCTTAAAAATGCATTTTAATAAATGAATCGTCAGTAGGTATATTATGTCATTGGGGGTAACAAACTGAACCCAGAGTTTCTGTTTCGTAATTACGACAGTGAGAGAGATCTAGAAGAAATTGCAGGTTATTTTTTTTAATCGCAATAACGGTCACATTTAAGCTAACTCTTGCTTTTTTAACCGAAATACGCTTAAAACGTTTCGCGCTTATGATTTTAAAACGTATGTGTATAAGTTATTATTGAATATGCTGAATGCATAAGCTATATATTCAGTTGTTTATAATGCTCTCGCGATAATGACCTCGCATAAATATATTCGCGGTATAAAAATTTGCTATAAAGGGTGTTTACGATATCAGTTTTGTATAAGATGTATTCGCTCCAAACTCACGATTCAGTTTTACGGAAATAAATTCGCTATAAGTTTGCGATATTGTCTTCGCCGCAAATGTTTAGCGGGAAAAAAAAATTGAGGAATTGATTTTGTGAAATTCCCTTCGCTTTAGCTCAATTGACCTGATACAAGTATATAAAATATAATGTATTTAAATCCAAAAGAGTCAGTTAGGATAAGGACTGTTTGAGAGTGCTTAAATTTATTGTAGTTTATTTTCCGAAAATTAAAAAATTAAATAATTTTTTATATTAAATTTTATTTTATTATCTAAAAAAAATATATTGTAACTATTCTACCCGATTTGGAATATACCTAGAAAAATATAACTTGTTATTCTAACATCATATTAAAATTCGTTATTTAGGAAAGGATATATCTCTTTATGTTAAGTCATATGAATGAGTGCATAATATTGAAGATTGCAATAAATGATCTGGTGATTAAAAGAATTTGCAGAAATTGGCAAGATTTCATATATGAACAAAGCTTTCATTTTTTTCCCCTTTCTTATCGATTTAGAAATTTGTATATGAATTATTTTGTTGAGTATATAACTGAAAACGACTCATGTTATGGTTATATAATATAATCAAAGATAATTGTAAACTAAAAGTAGATGGATATATTTTTTTAAAAAAAGTAATATATTAAGTATATATAATGAATAATATCATATTCTTAATATCGGATCAGTAATTCAAGGATGATGGTATACTAAAAGTCAATGAATACATTTTAAAAAAATTACAAAATATTAAGTCATGTTTAATAAATAAAATCATATTCTTAATATCGGATTGGTAATGGGCATAATTGAATGTTGGTCCTATTATTTGAATCCTAAAAATAAAGATATCAATTTAATATTGGTTATATCGTATAAATCTCCAAAATATATATTCATAACTTTGTGTAGCCTAAAAAATGAAATATCCACTCATATTCAACAGAAGAGATGTATAGAATGTGGTATCTGATACTTTCTTAATCCATTATGAATGGAATAATCCTACTCCTAAAAAGAATAATCCACTAAATATATTAATAGAAAATCATTAATAAAAGAGGTATTAAAAAGAGGGGATAATTAAAAATTGCTATGACAGATATTATATTATAATCATATTATAGGCAAATATGTGCATATTATTTTATTTATTAATTAAAATATATGGGGACAGACATTTATTTGAACTATTTGTACCAGTATTTTTAGTGACAGTCATTTTCTAAACTCATAGCACTTTTTTAATTTAAATTATAGCACATTCTAATTATGATAAAAGGATATGAAGTAAATAAAAATGAAAATAATTTACTATAAAATAGCTGTTTGCAAAATAGAGATAGCATGGCTTACCATAACATTTTTTTTTTTTGTCAAGGCCTGTAAAAAAAATAGCCCATAAATTTTTGTGAAAGGAAAAATCATAATTATGGATTATACTACATTTTTTTAAATAGTGAAATGCAGGGCATAATTACCCAAGACCTTGGATTGTTAAAAAGTTGTATTTAGTTATTTAAAAATGACCCAATTAAGATTTTACCAAAAATTATATTATGTAAGCCTTAAGATTTGGCACAGAGGTCCAAACCTTTCTTCATCAATGAGCAAAATCTCTAGGCTTGCATAATATTGTCTGACAGTCAAAGCAATATTATTTAGTTTTCCAGTAATCCATAGGACCATATTTTTAAGCATAAGGCTAAACTATGTTAATTTGATTTGAGACTAATGTTGCTAAACTCAATTTAGCTTATTTATAAAAACAACTAACTAAATTAAGATTTCTTCCAAATAAATACCGAAGCCTCTTGATTTTACTATAGCTGAAAGGTTTGGCCCGTTATTAATGAATTAAAAATTAAGGAATTTTTTTAGCTAAAATCTTGATTTCATGATTTTTTGAGAATTGGCTATATTTAGGTCTCTAACACTATTCCAGGCTATTAATTTTATATTTAATATTCAATCCTATAATTTAATTAACAATCCTTATAAATATATATTAGATAAACATGATATATAAGTCATAACATTGCACCATTATATTTTAAGCCAATAATCTTTAAATACATTTAATGAATTTTAATTTAAAACCTGGTAATAAACAATTTAATCTATATAGATTTTACTATTTATGTGTTTTAGATAAAACTGAGTGATCATTATTATAATTAAAATTATAATCCTTACCTTGTTTGAAACGCGAATTTTTTTAAATTTATTTCTAAATTGATGATAATGATGAATGATGCATTCTCCAGTAAAATATTATTTATCAATTATATAAGCAAATGTCATTTGATAGATTAAGTTATGGAGATATATTTAATCATTTTTATATTCTATCTATAAGATTTGATAAAAATAACATTTAGGTTATTATTGACTCGCCTTTATTAATGCTATAGGTCCATGGGCGAATGGGAGAGGGGGAAGGGTCTATAGGTTTACATATTATATGCCTTGGGTTATGTTCTATTCTTATAAATTATACACTTTTTCTTCTTTTTTTTTGGGGGGGGGAGGAGGGAGAGTGTGTATAACTTAACTACGCATTGCAAAAAACTATGGATTACCAAGTAAATTGCGAATTACCATGACTAAGCTTACAGATTTCTGTATAATCTAATCTAATAATTAAAATAGTATTCATTTAATAAACATTTAGAAATTTTTATTAATTTTTAAAGAATAAAATTAAATCTATATATTACTCAATAGAATTATAAAAGAAATCGTTCAGGTGGCAATTAAAAAAATTTATTTTTAGTTCAAGGAGATATTAAGGAGCAATTTTTAAAAAAATTTTGCTTCAGGTGGCTATTCAAATTTTACAGGGGGCTCGAGCCCCAGTGCGCCACCTCCTAGCGACGCAACTGCTCAAATATATAAGAATTCAAATTGAATAAAAGAGTGAACATTTCAAATGTCAATAGCAAAACCAATTTTGTCGAGATGAACAATATATCCTATCTCTGATGAATATTTTGTATAACTCACCAAAAATATGCACATTACATTATTTTTAATATTTAAATTAATTTATATATCTATTCTTAAGGATCCTACCTCTTTTGATTCATTTTATCACACCTACCATTATTCTCTTTTATACTGCGGTTTATGTATTACTCAGTAAAAAACAAAAAGAAATTAAATAAAAAAAACTATACATGGTTCACTATTTTTATCATATCAAAAGAAAATTACACATTATGATATTATTATAATTTAAATATATTTGTATATCTATTCTTAAGAATTCTACTTTTTTTGGAAACTGGCCATTTCGTCGCACCTATCATTGTTCTCTTTTATTCCACTTGATTATTTTTTGTGGTTCACTAGTCTTATTGTGTAAGTTCCAAGATTTCGCTAACGGATGTCCAAACCTTTATGCTATCTTAGACCAAAATCTTTATCCTCGCGTAATATTGTTCTGGATAAAATATTGAGTTAGCCGATTTAAAAAATCAACGTCTTCCTTAAGATTAGTTTGAATTGACGAAAAAACAATATTAATATATTTTCTTGCAAACAAATAAAATATTTTTATTAATTGATTTTTAAAAAATTTGTTTAAAAGAGTATTTAACAATACTACCCAGCATGCAACATTGCCAACACAGCTTATCTTAGCTTACTAAGCATTATCCGATTCAACTCCATTTCAGTAAATACATCTATTTTGTTGGAAGCGAAACTAATAAATAAACATGATACGTTCCTTCTTTATACTCCTTGCTAACAGACTACTAGTGTTGTAATATTTCTGTGTCGGGTTTAGTCAAACAGCGAGGTTTGAGCCAAAGAAAACAACTTTAAAACAAAGCCAACCTATTTAGACTTAAGAAGGCCCGGCTCATTGAGTCAGTTGGTTGGGTGAACAAAATAATTAGAAAAAAAATAGTTTGTTTTAATACGAGTTTAAAAGTTTTTTTTGATACTAGAAAGATGTTCTAAAACCTTTAGGCCTAGCAATAAATTTTATATTTTACTCCACAAGGAAAAAATAAATATGATTTTTTTAAAACGTTAAGTTTTTGAAACTAAAAAAATATTGTAAAGCCCTTGGGTTCATAGAAAGATTTCTATTGCCATTGTTTTTTATAATTACTTGCGTTAAATTTAGTAATATTTAAAAATAATATATTTATGTTTTGAACCCAGTAAAATTTTTTTAATTAGAATAAGTTGTCACTCTCATTCTATTTTAATCAAGGAAGATAAAAATTTTAAAAAATTTACAAACTTTATTTTAGGCTTATAGAAATAGCTTTTGTTATTAGAAAAGAGTTCTAAAACCCTAATGTCTAGTATAAATTATTCCTGCTAATATTGTTTATTCTTTTTTTTTGTAACTGAGTTTAGTTTTAAATTTTTGATATTAGAAATAAATGGAATACCTTATAAAACTTTTTAGGGGATTGGAGCGGAAAAGAAAAGACCGGGGAAGTTGATCAATTAAACCCCAGTTTAAAATTAAGGAAACAAAGGATATATAAATTTACCTAAAATAGATCTTAAATTGTCCATCTATATGCTACAAATATTTTGAAATATTTAACTTTTATATCAAATTTTGAAAATGTTTGTAATAATATTTTTTAGCAAATTTTGAATTATCTTAATTTGTGATTTTGCAAACATTTATGATGTCTAGATATTATTTAAACCATGATTAGTTAGCTTGAGTCTGCTAACCCTACTTTCCACGACTAATAAAATTATAATTTTAAATTTATATTTTACCTTTGGTAATATTGTATGGAGAACATATCCGAAATTACTTGAGATATAATAAAAATTATAAAGAACTATAATATTTTGTCCTAAACGTTTATAAAATTTTTAAAATTTTATTTTATTTTGATATTTTATATTTATTTTGTTAAAATTTTATATTAATCTATTAATAAATTTAAATATCTTGCTTCATTATAAGGCTGGTCTGGTTTGTGAAACCGCATTAGATTGTTTGATTATTTTATATTGGGCAATCAAGCTTAAACTTTTGACAACATTATAGTTTGTATATAAATATCAATCGACCAATATTTATTTTAAATCTTGTTTAATGTTTTTTTATCTAAAATATATTGAACAACTGCCAAAAGCCTAATATTGGTGCTTATATTATTACACAGATCAATGCCAAAAAAATGAACGGATGACCAGCTGGTGTTTAAGCAATACTAAAAATCAAAAACCCCTTATAACTGATGAACCACTTAACAAAATTTAAAATAATTTTGAACACATATAATTTACCTAAAAATGTTAAGCTATTAAAAATTCAGGCAAAAATATCGAAAGAATTTTAAGTAATAAAGTTTTTAAAATAAATGGGGTCTACATAGTTACACCTGTGTAACGAAGTCTTAAAAAATTTATTATTATTTCCAAAAAGAAAAGGGGGGGGGGGGAGTTCTTAAATATAAAAATTTTAATTCCTAATTAGTAACTTCTCTTAAGATCTAAATCCGTTTTAAATTTTATCTGATAACATTATTAAGCAGCATAAATATTATACTTTTTTTATTTGTATGTATATTAGATAAAAAAAAATTAAACACTTAAAAATATTAATCGATCTTTACAAGCTATATAATGTTTATCCTCAAACGATCAAGCTGAAAACTTTTTATTTGGCTCAAAATATAAAATAAAAATATAATTTTTTCAAAAATATTTATACATTTAACGCATATAGTTAAAAAGTAATGGCATTCGAAATTTCTTACTAAAATAATAAGGTTAGCCGTTTTAAGAAAATGGCTCGTTTAGGACAAATATGAGAAACTATAAATTTTAAGCTTTTATCTTATTGATTTCCAGAATTGTTATTGCAAATATAACTAGAAGGGACTTTTTGCGGGCCTTCGGCCGGGTTTTTTATTAACATATTATACTTTTTTAAAATTTATAAAATAATACAATACAAGACATTTCTAAAAATAATATTTTTTAATACAAAATCTATTTATTACAGTATAAAATATTTTCGATTGTAGATATAAAAAAATTTTGCGTCTAAAGAATTATAAATGATAAAAAAGGTTAATTAATTCATATATATATGTCTCAATTGATAATGGTTTTTGAAAACTACATAATATAATATAATCTTAGCAACTTACATTGACAAAAGGTCATGAAACTAATATAACTCTATTACCATTTTAGACAATGTTTTATAGAATGGACTAATAAGAAAAAATTTACAGACCTTACCAAATCAACAATTCTTGAAGAAAAGAATATAAACGACCAATCCAAATCATAATACTATATGGTGGTTATAGCTTCCTCTTAGATGACATGATGGAAGCTAGATAAGTAATCGAGAAAATTATTGAATGATATTAAATTTCTAAAAGATTATCTTCCATTTTTAATGATACATAAACGACTACACATTTGACCATTATTGCTTATCTAAAATATGTGATCATATGCTCTCAGCAGCTGTAATAATAATCTTAAATTACATAGCCACACAAATAATAGATGCTGGTTATTTGCAGGTCTAGCCATGACACTCACGATGGTAACCCATATCAGAATTTATTCTGTTAGATAAATTGATAAAACAAAAACACTAAAAACCTTTAAAATAAATTATGCAAATATATTGAAGCCTTGAGTTATTTACACTGCCATATTAGAAATAAAATTTTAACTAAAAATAAGAACCAGAGTGATATCATGAAATCAATTAAGATTTATATATTATTGTCGTACCATCTCTAGTTGGTATTATATCTTAAAATAATAGTAGTTTGTAATAATATTAAAAATATAATCGTATTTAAAATTAAACTCAAATCTATATTCCGAAGAAGAAGAAAATAGCTTCCTAAAAACACGTAAAAAAGAGAAGAAAAGATATCTAATTTATTACATCCATTGTGGAATGAATAATAATACGCTTAATTGTAATTATATTGTTAATTAATAAATGGCGTTAAATATTTGTAAGCAAATTGTTACTTATATTTATTATCAAAAGCATTTATTAGTAAAATTTTAAAAATATTAAGATACGTCTGTAAAAGTGACATTTTACCTAATATTTTATAAAAAATTATATATAATAGAGGACTATAAACTAAACTATATGTCTACTTACTTTTTATAAATAAATCTCTTATACTTATTTGGATTTGGACCTTGAAAATAAATTTAGGAGGAGACATGATAATTAAATTTAAAAATCAATAATATAGTTGATTAGTGATTTTGAACTCGGCTAAAATATTAAATGATTAATTTTTAATTAATAAATAATTATATTTATTTAATTACGGTTATATATTAATTTAAATAATAAAAGTCAATTAAGCTTCAACTGTTAATCCTAAATTAATATTTAGTGAGAGTGATATTCTTATATTAACATAGAATTTGATTGCAAGCTGACATAGTATAATTTATATGTAATAATCTAATCTAATAATTTAGTATTCATTTTATAAAAATTAAGATAGTCTAATTAATTTTTTAATAAAATTAAATCCATATATTACTCAATAGAATTATAAAAGAAATTATTCAGAGGGCAATTAAAAACATTTATTTTTAGCTCAAGGGGATATTAAGGAGCCATTAAAAAAATTTTTGCTTCAGGGAGCTATTCAAATTTTTCAGGGGGCTCGAGCCCCTGCGCCCCCCCTAGCGACGTCACTGATTAACGGTGCAATATGATTTGTATTTGGATTTTATTTTATAGTACTATATTTAACAATTTTATATCTGAATAAAAAATAAATAAATTACTAGTTGTATTAAGATTTATAAAAAATAAAAATATTATTTGACATTATTTTTCAACTCTAGAACTTTTTTTGTATTTGTTCACAGCAAAATATTTAAAATAAAACATTATGGAAAAATATAAAAAATGCCTATTTTTATAAAATTTTAAATTATTTTTTTAAAAATAATAATTATTTTATTGTTTTATTAATATATTTTTTAACTTTATATTTATTTCTTCAGACTCCCACCACACCTTATTTTCTCCTTTTATTTTTACATATTAAATATAATTAATATAAATTATTATTATAATTTTTAGGTAAGTATAAACATTGTGCGCCATTATTTTTTCTTATTTTTATTTCTTTAATTTTTTTACTTAAAAATAAAAAAATTTAAGAATTTCGTGAATAGATTGTGAATAGAAATATCATCATTGAAATCATACTTTATTATTAAATTACATTTAAATAATTAATTAAAATTTTCTTTCATCATATTTTTTATAAATTACATTTTTTTATCCCCTTTTACAAAAAAAGGTTTTTTTTTATATCTTTTTGAAAATAAATAAATCAAAAAAATAATCAATTATAAAAAATAAAAATGTTCGTTTAAAATTGAATTTAATTTAAGTTATAAAATATAAAAAAAACAAATATCAATTGCAACGATAAAATAAAACGTTATTATAAACTAAAAATAAAATCTCTCCGAAAGATATAAAATTAAATTTTAAAACGACATATCTAACAATGATAAAACAATTTGCCCTTTAGTAAGGCGTAACTTTAAATTAAAATTAAAGATTTTTTTATATTAATATATATTTTCGTTTATATCGAAAACGCAGTTAAATTAAGATTATTATTTATTTTGGATTTTATCCAAAACGTAATACTTTAACAATCCAACCTCCAAAGAAATCCGGCTTATGTTTTCCGGATTTGTTAAGTGGTAAACGCCATTGACATTCGTGATTGCCACGCATTACGCCATCCATGCTCATGGTGCAATCTTCTTTTTAAACACATTGACTTGGTAAAGCTAAAGAAGCTTTTGTGGGTAGATTAATATTATTATTTATTTTCGTTTTATCAAAAACGTGATACTTTAACCTTCCACCCTCCAAAGAAATCCGGCTTAACGAATTTGGTCATGTATGTGGAATTATTCGATGCATCCATGGTGAAAGAATGATAAAAGCGTTATAGAGAATTCATGTATAGTACAAAATCAAGATCGAATTTTGGGATAATAGTTATGCAAAGGTACCGACATAGCTTGTTCTCCATGAAGAATTAGCGTGAATAGATTGTGAATAGAAATATCATCATTGAAATCATACTTTATTAATAAATTACATTTAAATAAATAAATTACATTTTTCTTTTATCATTTTTTTTATATAATTACATTTTTTTTATTACCTTTAAACAAAAAATAATATTTATATCTTTTTGAAAATAAATTAATTCTAAAAAATAATCAATTATAAAAAATGAAAATGTTCGTTTAAAATTGAATTTTATTTAAGTTATAAAATATCAAAAAAACAAATATCAATTGCAACGATAAAATAAAACGTTATTATAAACTAAAAATAAAATTTTGCCGAAAGATATAAAATCAAATTTTAAATCGATATATCCAACATATGATAAAAAAAGTTGTCCGTAAGTAATGCTTTACTTTATGTTAAAATTGAAGATTTTTTTATATTATTATTTATTTTCGTTTTTATCGAAAACGTGAAAGGAAAAGGAATGATTTAATATTAAAAAAAAATTATAACAAAATAATACGACAAAAATAGTTTTTAAAATAGTTAAGGAAAAGATATTGATATCTTGTTTAGTAAGATTGTTTTATCACCTATTTTTTTATTCCCTAGAATACTCAAAAATAAATGATCTAAAAGCAATGAAGATATGGGTACAATTTTTCAGAAATAACAATAAATCCTCCAAAAGATGTTCGGTATCTATTTTAATTTTACTGTTCACTTTGTTAAAAATATTTTTTTATGTATCCTATTCATACTTTCTTTCAAGTAACAATCCACCAATTATCAAAAATTTTTTAAAATAATTTTAAAAAAGTTTATCTGTTGTTTGCCCATTCCTAAATCAGTTGAGAAAATAAATTAAATCAGTTATTTTAATGTTAAACCATTTAAAAACATTAAAATATTTGTTAACCGAAAGAATAATGATATATTTTCCCTAAAAGTAGAGGCAATATTTGAAACAAATATTATATTAATGGATAAAAAATCTAAATAGATGCACTGAAAGATGTGTTATATACATTGCATTTAATGGATTGATCTAAGGTCAGAATTACTAGAAGAAATGATTGGAAATAAAAATGTCAAGTAGTCGCATTTAAAAATGTTTATTAATTTTTTGAATAATAAAAATGTTTCAGTTAATGATTAAAAGCTGTTTGACCAATTTTGCAATCTAAAATTGTTTATTTTAAATAAAATGCGGTGTGTTGAATATACAAAACTTCCCCTCACCAAAAATTGGTCAAATATTATGATATGGTACTCAAATATTTAAACTTTCGTGGAATATGGCAGTGCTAATTTATTATTAGACCCAAAGATTTAGAACATTTTTCTAATGTCAATAACTCTAAACACGGATTGAAGCAAACTAATTTAATTTCCTATATATTTGGCTGACCCAGCGAGTCGACCCAGTAAGCTGATCATTGGGTGCTCAACAGGCCTAATAAGTCAGATTGGGTCGTGGTCAATTTTTTGAACCTGGCTCAGGATTGGGCCGATTTCTCTTAACTTGACTCGAGTTATGAGTCGAAGAAAACTAATAATTTAACAACACTACGGAGATAGACTGTATAGAGGTAGAGATAATTACCTGACCTTTATAAGAAACACCGTGAATGAGGTCTATATAACAGTGAAAATACGTTATGTACACTTCAAATTGCATTCTGGCAGGATAATGAAGGAATATTGGGGTATTGAAATTGATTAATCGCTAGGAATGGTTGCCATTTGCCCGATTTTGATGTGGAGTTAAATTATATTATCATGCTTTCTTCTCCACCTGATAATAAAACATTTGCTAAGTTAAAAAATGATTTGATATTAAGGGCTATTAAGATGGAGAAAGTTGAGAGAGTGCCTGTTTGGATTATGAGGCAAGCTGGAAGATACTTGCCTGGTATTTTTACATTTCATAAATATATTGAATTGTTTTTTTATATTTCACAGAATTTAGAGAGATTAGAGAGAAGCATGATTTTTTCGAAATTTGTCAAACACCTGAATTAGCTTGTGAAGTTACATTGATGGTATTTTTATAATTTATATTTTATTTAGCGACATTTCTAATTAGCCTATTAGAAGATTTGCATTAGATGCTGCTATAATATTCTCTGATATTTTAGTTATTCCACAAAGTTTGGGAATGATTATAGAAATGAAAGAGGGAAAAGTTATATCAATTCTATTATTTAAACACTAATATTTATCAGGGCCCAGTAATACAAAATCCTTTAACAACTCCAACAGATATTATAAAATTAAATTGGCCTAAATTTAACCAAGCCAATGTGATAATTGATGTCAATGAGGTAAAAACAGAAGGTATGAAAATTGAGGTGTTAAAAAAAGTTTACCAAGCAATTACATTAACACGTATTAGTTTGAATGGAAAAGTGCCACTTATTGGGTTTTCTGGAGCACCTGTAATATTTTTTTTTTTTTTAATTTAGGTATATTAATTTTATTTTTATCTAATTTTGTTAGAAAAATTATTAGTTAAAAAAAATTGGGGTTAATTAATTCATATCAAATGTTTCATAAACTTAATATTAATATATTAACAAGTGGACACTGATGGCTTATATGATAGAAGGTGGTTCATCATTAACATTCTTAAAAGCAAGGTCCTGGCTATATAAATATCCTGATGAAAGTATATTTCTATTACAAAAACTCTCGGAAGTAATTGCTCATCATCTGATCCAACAAGTCAAAGCTGGTGCTCAGGTCTATTTTAAAATTTATTTATATCATAAAATATTTATTAATATTTTTGTAATTGTTAAATTAAGATTAGCCTTATATTGAGGAAATTTTTTATATGCCAAATAAAGTAACGATAGTACCATTTCATGCCTGACTTTTTTTTTCCCATTGATAAATTTTTTTTTGTAAAGAGATGTACATATTTATTATAGACGCAAATGCACATTTTCATTAAAAAAATTATTTCAAGTATTTTTATCAAAAAATATTCAATGATTCCAAATGTCATCAATATGCAAAATTCAGGTTTATTTAAAAAGATGAATAATAAAAATTATGTTTATTATTTAAACATAAATAAATATTACATTTATTGCAAATAATACTATAATAAGCTTCTACACAATACTTGCACCCTTTCTTTATGATTACGAGCAATTGGAGCCACTTGGTCATATCTTATATCTAATGCAATATTTACAGCTTTTCTTCTTTTTACAATGTTAGAAGGTCTTCTTGTCTTCTCCATATATTACATTCCTGCTAGCATCAATCTTTTTGCTATCTGCAATTTAAATATTAGTAAAGTCATAAATTTTATATTATTTAATGTTATATGGCGTCTATGGAGGCTGGCATTCACTACAAAAGAATCCAGTAAATGGGAAACCATTCTCATATACTAGTTTACATTTAATTTCCATCCAATGTAACTCCACAAGCATGTTATGAAGATCTACTCTACCCATTCCCTTATAGTTTTTTATTATCATTGGCATTTTTACATTTACAAAGACATTATCCGAAGCAGATCATCGCTTAAATTTGATAGGAAAACATCTGTAAAGTTAGATATAGTAGTAATGCTTTGTTGTTCTGCCACTTGCCGATAATTATATCATTCTATTTGCTTTTGTAATATATAGATCCTCCTTCTTTTTTTTAAAATCTTCTCATTTTTAAATTGTGCCCTGATAGGCAATTTGATCTTATCGTTCTGGGTACCAAATATTCCTATTCTTTAAGAATTAAATATATTTGGTAATAAGAGAAAAAATTATCCATATACAATTTGGGGTTTTTATTTAAATGTATTATTTCTAACAGGTGAAGAGCGATATCCCCACTAATACCTAAGAATGAATGACATTAGTAGACTTTCCTTGGTATATTTAAAAATCATATATAAACTCGGGAGCTGTAAATTAAGCAACATGATGAAGGAATTCTTACTCACAAAAATGTCTAAGATTATTGATTAGTAGGGTAACTGTGATTGACATATAAAGAAAAAATACCTAATCAAGCGATTCTACTTGTTATAAAGGAAGGTCTCTCCTTACAGTGATAACCTTATGAGAAGAGAGTATTTGTGAGACTTAGTGTTAAAGAAAATATGCAGTCAAGTTTTAATGTAAGGTCATATCATTGATCGGGAGCTTTTCAATCAATGAGTTAATCCATTAGAAGATTGCATGTTATGGGTAAAAAAAAATAATCATCTAAATATATATATCTGTTTTACATGATCATATTATTTTGATAATCATAAAATTACAGTTGTTTCACAAACATAATTCAACAGCTTTTGCCGCTTGAATCCCTCCTAGGGATTCAAGCATGGTTAACTTGTTTTATATTTTGATATGACATCCATGTCATTTTCATTATAGAATTTCTTTCTGGTATTTAAAACTTTTAATTTCTTTAATATGCATATATTGTTCTTGTAAATATCATTTTAGGTTAATTAAAATAAATATCTACAGCCACTCTCCCCCCCCCCCACCACTCTCATCTGCCATAATTTGAAATAAAAGTTAAAATAATGACCGTAATTAAAATTTTTCAGAAAAAAGTGACAAATCATAATTTTTATAAAAATTTAACATAGCCAAAAGTACTACAATAAATAGACCTGTAAAACCCTCCAATAATACCTATGGGGTATAAATCCATATAATAGTACCCTCTCCCCTCTTAGCAAAATATTGGCTACTCTTTAGCCTTTATTAAATTCTCTTTTCTTAATTAAGATATCGGGGTTTGTGTTTATATATCATCATCGAGACTGGCAGTAAAAATGTCTGAATATAAACATCAAAATTATCCAAACGCATCAACACCACTCCTTCCCATCATTATATATATATGAAATTTCAAATAAAATTACTATTAGAATCAAAGTAAAAAAAAGAGCTTCTTATTATTTCATTTAAGCATTTAGAAGATTCTATCAGAAGATGATAAATAAAAATCGGTATAAAAACGTAAATAATGTATATATATGATATGACAATTTAAGTTTATTCCATGAAAAGTACTGAGAATAAATGGCAAGTGTTTAACAATCGACTATAAAATTATAAAAATGATTCTATACACGAAAGTAAAGCGGCCAAGAGCTATAATGTCGATAACTGGTTTGGCAACGACATTTTGTAGTTTATCACCTTAGCGTATCCAAAAACTAATATTAAAACCCAGAGGTTCAGCAAACTCCTCAAAATAAATGAACTTTCTATTTAAAGTTGAGTATGCGCACTCAAGAATTTTATTTCACTGATTAGTATCATTTTGGGTAACCTTGGGAAGTCCATAAAATTTTTTAAAATTATAACACGAGATTAGCTGCGAGAAATTTTATTTGCGATAAAAAAATCGCAATAGAAGCATGCCGCGTCTAATTTTGAAGGATTTTTACATTAAATATATAGAACTTATTGTTTTTTTTTTAAAAAAACACCTTTTTCAGGATTTTATCTATAAAAATATTTATCATTATAAAATCCCAAAATAAATTCCTGGAAATTCATTTTTCTATTGATATTCCAAAAATTTTGACTTTGGAGATTTTTAAAAAAAATTAAATTCTGTTAAAAACATACGATAGCCAAATAATAGTTATGGGAGAGCAGGTACGTTAAAGTTAATATAAATGAAAATTAAATTTGGCAGATATTCGATAGTGTAGCTAGCGTTGCGGCGTAATCGGCTAATTTTAATCAACTTTAAAATGGTTTAGCCGACTTTTTAGCTGAAAAAGCTAAAACTAATTCGACATCTGCTAAGGAACCTATTCGTCCGTTGGCGTTACTTAATAAATATAAATAAGATAATGATATACAAATAATTTTACTAGACATTATATTAGGAGCCCCGTTAGTAGGTACGGAAAGTTTTAAATTTTTAACAATAACCTGAAATCATTATTCTTCATCTTCATTAAAAAAATTACCCATCCATCAAGCTTATTTTATCCTCAAAAATGTCCTTTTTATTCCGCAATTTCAATATTGTTTAAAAGCCTCAGATGTTTTCGCGTTAGAAACTCGTTTAAAGGAATATGAATAAAACATTGACGGAAGAGTTACTAAATTTTAAGTTTGATTCTAACTCCTAGCTTCAGGCTACTCTTCCTTGAAAATCAGGAGGCCTAAGACTTAGATCTGCTATAACTATTGCCTTAGTTTCTTTCATATCTTCTACAAAATCCGTGAAACAGATCATATCCGAAATCATTGCAACTGATAATGATAGTTTTATGGACTAAACCTTAAATTGCTGGACCATCAATGCTTTGCCAAATACACCTCAACTAGAATCATCAAAGCAAAAAGACTGGGATCTAGGATTGGTATCTTCTTCCTTCGCTTACCTCAACTTGAGCCATGATCACTAATACAAATCACTCATTAGGACGCTTGATTTTGAGAACTACGGTTATGAATGGCTTGATTCCAAATTCATATCAAAAATTAATCAACACTACAAATGCCACATTCAATATGGCAAATCTCCCGTGCATTCTTGAACCGACATTCAACAATGGATAAAAACGCCCTGACGGCAAAACTAAAGTCCCCTTTCTGACAAACCCTTTGTCTGGGATTTTACTTGCATAGACCCCCTTGCCACTTTTAATAATGTATGACCCTTTTCTTAGGGCACAATCATTAAAATGTCAAGAATATTCTTATCTGATGGATGATAATCACTTTGTCCCCATCATAGCTGCATCATCCTGTTCATTTGGACAAGCCGTTATAAATCTTTTCAAAATGGTTTCCAAATTCATAAAGAAAAAAAAACACAGGTCTCTTCTTTTTATAAACTCAAAACTAAACATTCCTATCACAATAATTCGTTCCAATTATTTAATGTTTAAAAATTCTTGGCCCCAATTATTCACTTAGCATTCTCATTTTTAATTTTTTTTTTTTAAATTTTATATATTTGTTTTTTTTTAAAAATATTTTTCATGTTCATTTTTTATCATAGATTTATATATAAATTTTAAATATATATATATTAATTTTTTAATAAAAAATATTCAACATTAAAAAATAATAATCAAGACTTATCTTATTTAACACTGACGGTCGATTAGCCGAGCTCCTTAGATGATGCCTATTTTTGACTAATTCATTTTAGCCAATTTTTCGACTAGGCCTAATTAGGTTTAGCAGCTTTTTTGGCTGATAGGCTTAGGCGAGATTTTTTAGCCGATTAAGCAACACCAAGTGTAGTATATCATGTATATTTGATAGTAATTCATTTTAATTATTTTTTAATTTGAATCTTATTTGTCTATATATAAATATGTTTAGCGGCATGTGTTATTTTTTAAAATAAAATCTGATTTTACCAGAAATATATTCCAGCATGTTTTTAATACATTTTATAATTTTATAAATTATAGATAATTTTACCTTTAACTTTTGAGTCATTTATAATTTATATGAAAAATCTATGGGAAAACTAATATATATTATAATAAGTTCAAAGGTTTATGATAAAATTATCCTAAATTCATAGAGTAGGTATGCCAAACATGATCGAATACATTTCCGAAATTTAAAAAAAAACACGCTCGAAAAATTATTTAAAGTTTAAAAAATAACACGTTGCCGGAAAAAATACATTGCCGCAAAGATATATATATAAAAAGCAAGTAAAATTTTAAAATTATTTTATTTTCAATAATATATTTTCAAAGATTCTTCAAATTTTTGAGTCGCACGCAGAATGCATGAACAAACAATTATTCCAAAGATTTAGCATCCCTTACCTCAAAGCTATAGCCAACGTCGTCAAGTCCTCCTTTGACAAAGAGACCACTCCTCCTTTAGTTTTCTAATTATAATCTATTACTATTTCATCTATTTGATTTTTTTTTAATATTGTCTTTGTTTCACAAGATATGAAACATTCTATAAAAAAAATAGGAATTTAAAACTTAAAGAATCCGTCTTTATTAAATAATAACGACTTGACATTTTTATGAAAAGTTTTAACGTATTTATTTTAAAATATTTGGAATTTAGAAATTCTTAAATTCACCTTAATTAATTAGGAAAAAAAGAGATTATCTCATTAATAGAGTGTTTTTTTAGTTCACATACCGTTTTTTCCTCCAAAACCAACGTGTTTTTTTCATATCTATATTTGGCAAAGGAAAAGTAATTATGTTTTTTTTAAAGAAGTCACTGATTTTTTTAAAAAGCCACCGTTTTTTTTTAAAAAATGACGTTTTATGTTTAAATTAGAAGACGCAAAAATTAATTTGTTGTATCAGAACGCCACTTCCGACTGACTAGTGACCCCTCATTCACAGCTAGCGCGAATTTGCGACGAAGTATACAAAATATGCTGTATTTTTGTGTACTTCTCAGTGAATTCGCGCTAACTGTGAGTGCAGGGTTACACAAACACTGAAATATAATTCGAATTTTTAAAAAATGCACCCTATAAATGACTTAAATCTATATCTTAGCTATAATAATGGCGCATAATCGCGCATTTTATTTCGAATTAAAAAAAAAAAATATTAATGTCTTTTAGCAAATATTCCCATTTTTTTACGCAAATTAAATTTAAAAAAAACCTGCAAAAACTTAGCCCTAAAGATTAAAATAACGCAACAATTTATTAAGCGCCATTTTTAAATTTAAAATAATCCAGAGACCTGCAGAGGCACCATTTGCATGGCCCGGCCTGGCCCGGTTTTAAAATTTTTAAGCCCGGCCCGGATATTTTTTAAAAAAATTTTTACTGCCCGGCCCGGCCCGGATTTAAAAATTCAAGGCCCGGCCCGGATATTTTTAAAAAAAAATTTTTACGGCCCGGATATAAGTATATTCCATATTTTATTCAGATATTTAATTACAAATTGATACTATAAAAAATTTGTGCAAATAATATTTTTGAATATAAAAGATTGTATTTGTGATATTTTAATTTTTATTTAAAAAATACATGTAAAAGCTAATATTTTGAGAATATTATATTGAATTTATAAAAATTATATAACTGTTATTTATAAAAATGGATATTTTGAGCATATACTATATTTTATATTGCATTTATAAAAATAAAACTAATATTCATAAAAATGGTAATAATATTTTGAGCATATACTATATTTTATATTGCATTTAAAAAAAAATAAAACTAATATATAATTTATAAAAATGGAAAATATTTTGAGAATATAATATATTGTATTTACTATTTAATTTATAAAATAAAAATAAATCGCTATTTAAAAAAATGCATGTATAATAAATAGTATTTTGAAAATATAATCTAATTGCACAATATTAAATTAATATAATTTATTTTATAATATAAATTTTTAACAAAAGAAGATAATTGTATTATATAATATATTGTAAAAAAAAATAATAAAAAATGTTGGATTAAAAACTTTCATGACTCAAGGTAAAATATAATAAATGCAATAAATATTTGACAGTTTGCAAAGTAAAAAACCAGCATGATTGATGAAACCCTATACTCAAGAAAGATATTAAAAATTCACAAATTATCATGAAGAAAGAGAAGCATATCTACGGTTGAAGATTACTTCTTCTTTCTTCAAGAATTCTTCCAGTAGTGGAAAAATTCCGCTTACAGCTTGCACTTGAAGCAGGTATAGCCAATACCCGTTTTGACAATTTTTCCAAAATTGGAAATTCGCTTTGATGAGAAGCCCACCACTCTAACAAATTATCCACCTTAAATGTTTCATCTATTTTTTTATTTATATAATTATAATATTCATCATCGGGTATTGACATACTACCAGAATTACCATCGCCCATTTGTCATAAAACGATTCAGTTTGTTTAACAACAGTTGTAATATGACTGGTCGATGGTATTTCATTAACTTCCTGAGCCTCTTGTAATATATAATCTTTTATTTAGTTTTCCGTCATCTTGCGATCTGTCCATGACAACATACGTAATTGCTTGAATTTGGGACAGAGAAAAGGAGAAATAAAATGATACTTGTGTAAAACAAATTTTTCAATTAAAAATGCCTTATATTAAGTAAAATCAATTTTATTTCTCCTTTTTCGCTTTGAAAGGTATTACAAACTTCAAGAAGTTCATAATACCAAATTACCACTTTAAATAGAGTACAAGAGTCCGACTGTAACTCAACAATAGCTCTGTTAAAATTCTCAAGAATGTTGACTAGATCCTGAAGGATCGGAAAGTCTATAATATAATACTTTTCCGATCCCCCATGTTCTAGAAGAACTTTTATAATTTCTTCATTTTGAGAATAAACAGAATTGAGCATATTGTATAGAGTTCCAGCGGACTTCTGTATCTTGATAAAGGGCTTTTAAATGCTGGCATTTATTACTTTGTTTTAAATGGCCCACTAATATTTTAGTATTATCTATTGTTGATTTTATTAATGGGACATTACTTTTCAAATATTTGAAGTTAAATGAATTTCTTAAAATTGTATTTAATATATGACAAGAGCAATTTAATCGTTCATTTAACTTCAATGCTTTTATAATATTTTTACCTTGGTCTGTAACAAATATTATATTAATAAAATCGTTAGTGTTAAAACTAAAATTATGAAATTTTTTAATAGTTCATCCTTAACTACTTGGCTAGTCTTAGACACTTCTTTAAATTTAGCGTTAAATAGGTTTATCTTCACTAACTTCCAGTCATCTGATATATAGTGCATGTTAACTGTTATAAACGAGTTCTTTTTATGGTCATCTCACCATATATCAGTGGAAGCAGCCATAAATCGATTCTTGATTACTGGGGCAATAGTATCAACCAAAATGCTTCTTATTTTATTACATTTTTCTTTAAGGTGGCGTGAAAGAGTGGTGGGATGTGAAATCAATGAGTTGATATCTATTTTACCATACGTTGCCCCAACATCGACTAGAGCCTGGCTGAATTCAAGAAACCCATTCCCAGCTATCATTTCGAAAGGTCTAATATCTTTTGCGCAAAGTGTTAAGGAATGATCTATAAATTTTTCTTTTAAATATTTCATATTACATTTATAGGTGGGTTTTTCAGGTGTAAATTTTTTTTTATTAATTTTCATGGATTTACCATCACATTTATGTCTTTTTAAATGTGATGTACCATGGTTATAATTATACTATAATAAATTTGAACAATTTATGCATTGCACATAGCCAATATTTTTTTTATTTTCATCTATGATGATGTTAAATTTAGCCCATATTTCAGATTTTAAAGTATTATTTGTATTTTTAAAAGAATAAATATTATTTTTAATTTTGTTAATTATATCATTAGTATTTTGTGCCATGATATTCCTTTTATTGATTGTTTTGGTAAATATTCTAAAAATTTAGATATGAATTATAAGATTTATATTTATTATTAATTTTTACTTTAGCTTCTAAAATGCTCAAATAAATCTTTAGATTCTTGAATGCCTAATGAGAAATCTTTAGGTTCTTTAATGTTCAATCTAAAAATAAATATATAAAATTATAAGATTTACATTTATTATTAATTTTTACTTTAGCTTCTAAAATGCTCAAATAAATCTTTAGATTCTTGAATGCTTATTGAGAAATCTTTAGGTTCTTTAATGTTCAATCTAAAAATAAATATATAAAATTATAAGATTTATATTTATTATTAATTTTTACTTTAGCTTCTAAAATGCTCAAATAAATCTTTAGATTCTTGAATGCTTAATGAGAAATCTTTAGGTTCTTTAATGTTCAATCTAAAAATAAATATATAAAATTATAAAATTTACATTTATTATTAATTTTTTTTTTACTTTAGCTTCTAAAATGCTCAAATAAATCTTTAGATTCTAGAATGCTTAATGAGAAATCTTTAGGTTCTTTAATGTTCAATCTAAAAATAAATATATAAAATTATAAGATTTATATTTATTATTAATTTTTACTTTAGCTTCTTGAATGCTCAAATAAATCTTAGCTTCTTTTATTTTCTAAAATAAAATAAAAATTATAGTGTAAAATATATTAATATGAACCTGTATTTATTTTTTAAAATGGAGTTTTCCGGTATCTTTCAGAATATTAATAATTAGATCGATCTGTGGGTGTTAGGTAGTGTTAACCATCACCCAATATTATATTAATCATAACTATAATATAATATAATCTTATAACCAATAACTCATAACGTATAATTTTTTATAAAAAATATTAAGGCCCGGCCCGGCTTTAACAATTTTAGGCCCGGCCCGGATATATTTTAAAAAAAATTTTAGGCCCAGCCCGGATATGTTTAAAAAATTTTTTTTTAGGCTCTACCCGGGTATATTTAAAAAATTTAAAATACGGCCCGGGCCTGGCTTAGGGCCGGCCTTGCAGGTCTCAGAATATAAATTATTTAGCGAAAGTAAGATGTGTACTCATCAACAAAGGACATATTGGAATATTTTTCCGGCCATAATCAGATTATTTCAGAGAACTGCAAGCCCAGCCCTAAGCCTGGCCCGGGCCGTATTTTAAATTTTTTAAATACCCGGGCCGGGCCTAAAAAAATTTTTTTTAAACAAATCCGGGCTGGGCCTAAAAAATTTTTTAAAATATATCCGGGCCGGGCCTAAGATTATTAAACCCGGGCCTAGCCTTAATATTTTTTATAAAAAATTTCACATTATGAGTTATTGGCTATAAGATTATATTATATTATAGTTATGATTAATATAATATTGGGTGATGTTTAACACTACCTAACACCCACAGATCGATCTAATTATTAATTTCCTGAAAGATACCGGAAAACTCCATTTTAAAAAATAAATACAGGTTCATATTAATATATTTTACACTATAATTTTTATTTTATTTTAGAAAATAAAAGAAGCTAAAGATTTATTTGAGCATTCAAGAAGCTAAAGTAAAAATTAATAATAAATATAAATCTTATAATTTTATATATTTATTTTTAGATTGAACATTAAAGAACCTAAAGATTTCTCATTAAGCATTCAAGAATCTAAAGATTTATTTGAGCGACTATTTAGAAGACTAAAGCTAAAAATAAAAATTAATAATAAATATAAAATCTTATAATATTATATATTTATTTTTAGATTGAACATTAAAGAACTTAAAGATTTCTCATTAAGCATTCAAGAATCTAAAGATTTATTTGAGTATTTTAGAAGCTAAAGTAAAAATTAATAATAAATGTAAATCTTATAATTTTATATATTTATTTTTAGATTGAACATTAAAGAACCTAAAGATTTCTCATTAGGCATTCAAGAATCTAAAGATTTATTTGAGCATTTTAGAAGCTAAAGTAAAAATTAATAATAAATATAAATCTTATAATTCATATCTAAATTTTTAGAATATTTACCAAAACAATCAATAAAAGGAATATCATGGCACAAAATACTAATGATATAATTAACAAAATTAAAAATAATATTTATTCTTTAAAAAATACAAATAATACTTTAAAATCTGAAATATGGGCTAAATTTAACATCATCATAGATGAAAATAAAAAAAATATTGGCTATGTGCAATGCATAAATTGTTCAAATTTATTATAGTATAATTATAACCATGGTACATCACATTTAAAAAGACATAAATGTGATGGTAAATCCATGAAAATTAATAAAAAAAAATTTACACCTGAAAAACCCACCTATAAATTTAATATGAAATATTTAAAAGAAAAATTTATAGATCATTCCTTAACACTTTGCGCAAAAGATATTAGACCTTTCGAAATGATAGCTGGGAATGGGTTTCTTGAATTCAGCCAGGCTCTAGTCGATGTTGGGGCAACGTATGGTAAAATAGATATCAACTCATTGATTTCACATCCCACCACTCTTTCACGCCACCTTAAAGAAAAATGTAATAAAATAAGAAGCATTTTGGTTGATACTATTGCCCCAGTAATCAAGAATCGATTTATGGCTGCTTCCACTGATATATGGTGAGATGACCATAAAAAGAACTCGTTTATAACAGTTAACATGCACTATATATCAGATGACTGGAAGTTAGTGAAGATAAACCTATTTAACGCTAAATTTAAAGAAGTGTCTAAGACTAGCCAAGTAGTTAAGGATGAACTATTAAAAAATTTCATAATTTTAGTTTTAACACTAACGATTTTATTAATATAATATTTGTTACGGACCAAGGTAAAAATATTATAAAAGCATTGGAGTTAAATGAACGATTAAATTGTTCTTGTCATATATTAAATACAATTTTAAGAAATTCATTTAACTTCAAATATTTGGAAAGTAATGCCCCATTAATAAAATCAACAATAGATAATACTAAAATATTAGTGGGCCATTTAAAACAAAGTAATAAATGCCAGCATTTAAAAGCCCTTTATCAAGATACAGAAGTCCGCTGGAACTCTATACAACATGCTCAATTCTGTTTATTCTCAAAATGAAGAAATTATAAAAGTTCTTCTAGAACATGGGGGATCGGAAAAGTATTATATTATAGACTTTCCGATCCTTCAGGATCTAGTCAACATTCTTGAGAATTTTAACAGAGCTATTGTTGAGTTACAGTCGGACTCTTGTACTCTATTTAAAGTGGTAATTTGGTATTATGAACTTCTTGAAGTTTGTAATACCTTTCAAAGCGAAAAGGGAGAAATAAAATTGATTTTACTTAATATAAGGCATTTTTAATTGAAAAATTTGTTTTACACAAGTATCATTTTATTTCTCCTTTTCTCTGTCCCAAATTCAAGCAATTACGTGTGTTGTCATGGACAGATCGCAAGATGACGGAAAACTAAATAAAAGATTATATTAAATTACAAGAGGCTCAGGAAGTTAATGAAATACCATCGACCAGTCAATTTACGACTGTTGTTAAACAAACTGAATCGTTTTATGACAAATGGGGCGATGGTAATTCTGGTATTATGTCAATACCCGATGATGAATATTATAATTATATATATAAAAAAATAGATGAAACATTTAAGGTGGATAATTTGTTAGAGTGGTGGGCTTCTCATCAAAGCGAATTTCCAATTTTGGCAAAATTGGCAAAACGGGTATTGGCTATTCCTGCTTCAAGTGCAAGCTGTGAGCGGAATTTGTCCACTACTGGAAGAATTCTTGAAGAAAGAAGAAGAATCTTCAACCTGAAAAGGTAGATATGCTTCTCTTTCTTCATGATAATTTGTGAATTTTTAATATCTTTCTTGAGTATAGGGTTTCGTCAATCATGCTGGTTTTTTACTTTGCAAACTGTCAAATATTTATTGCATTTATTATATTTTACCTTGAGTCATGAAAGTTTTTAATCCAACATTTTTTATTATTTTTACAATATATTATATAATACAATTATCTTCTTTTGTTAAAAATTTATATTATAAAATAAATTATATTAATTTAATATTGTGCAATTAGATTATATTTTCAAAATACTATTTATTATACATGTATTTTTTTAAATAGCGATTTATTTTTATTTTATAAATTAAATAGTAAAATATTTTCCATTTTTTTATAAATTAAATATTAGTTTTATTTTTTTTAAATGCAATATAAAATATAGTATATGCTCAAAATATTATTACCATTTTTATGAATATTAGTTTTATTTTTATAAATGCAATATAAAATATAGTATATGCTCAAAATATCCATTTTTATAAATAACAGTTATATAATTTTTATAAATTCAATATAATATTCTCAAAATATTAGCTTTTACATGTATTTTTTAAATAAAAATTAAAATATCACAAATACAATCTTTTATATTCAAAAATATTATTTGCACAAATTTTTTATAGTATCAATTTGTAATTAAATATCTGAATAAAATATGGAATATACTTATATCCGGGCCGTAAAAATTTTTTTTAAAAAATATCCGGGCCGGGCCTTGAATTTTTAAATCCAGACCGGGCCGTGCCGTAAAAATTTTTTTTTAAAAATATCCGGGCCGGGCCTAAAAATTTTAAAACCGGGCCGGGCCGTGCAAATAGTGCCTCTGCAGGTCTCTGATTTATATTGTTATGGGGGGAAAAAATAACAAGACTTTTTTTTATTATCTATTGTAATTTTCATTCAATATTATTATTCTACTTTATATGGACTAATTTGCCAAATATTATAATGTTCTATCTCTTTTAAATCATTAATTAGAATAATCTCTGGGATTTGGACAAATATTAGAAATTTTTATTTCATTTAACTTTAAAAATATATGGTTATATATATTTTTTTTCAAATCATAACTTCGGCCCGGGGACCAAAGGGAAGGAGTTTTCTACCATCAAATAACTTTTTTATGATATTTTCGTTATTTGATTTAACCCAGACACGTCTGGACATATATTTTGCAACTAAAATTTAAATTAGGTATTACACAATATTATTATGGAATTAAAATATTATTTGAAGATTATAGATTTTCATTTTTTCGTTCTCTTACATTATTGTTGTTTCATTACCATCTTTAAAACTAAAATTAAATTTTTCCATAATTATATTTAAAAAAAATTATATGTCAGATTCTATTCGCCAAAGGAGTTCAACATTCTTTATCACTTTTAAATTCTCTAGGATACGACGTTATAAGCTTGGATTGGACTTTAGATCCAGAGGAAGCCAAGTAAAATAATTTATTCAAAAAACATATTTGTCATTAATTGATAAAGTATGAAGAAAAAGTTTGCATATCTAATTTTAATACCCCCCTCCCTTGTTTCTTAAAAAAAACTAGCAACATTATAAACTCTGACAATTTATAATTTGCACAGGAAAATATTAGGGCCCAATATAGTTCTTCAAGGCAATTTGGATCCCAGCGCATTATTTAGCTCCAAAGTAATTTTATTTTTTTTAAAAGATATTTATATAAAATGAAATTGTAATAAATGTAATATTTTTTTTCTATGCAAGAATACAAAAATGAAAATAAGAAACAAGAAAAATATATCTTAAAATAGGATAGAACTAGATTAAAAAAAGGAAGAATATTTTTTATACTTTTGTGAGCGATTAGAATTTTAAATTTAGATATCGCATAATGAAAGCCTATTTAAACTTTTTTAGTTATATTATGTTCTTTTTCAAAAACATGACATCTTATGTGACTAAAAAAGGTACAAATATATAAATTGAGTGTGATTAAAGGCTTATACTCTATAAATATTTCATGATAAAAAAATTTTTTAAATACAATTTGAGTATAAATAGATAATGTTCACGTTGATTTTCTAGTCTTAATATTGTTTTTTTATTATTATTATGCAAATTGTATGGTGTAATAAAGTTGTTTAAAATAAAGTAAAATATGAATTTAATGGAATTGAGACGACAATACTTATGTTATACTCAATATATGTATATTATATTATTTTTATTACACAGGAAGCTCTCCAGAACCTGACCACTGACATGATTTCTCGATTCGGAACTAAAGGTTACATAGCTAACCTGGGACATGGTATATATCCAGAAACACCTATCGAAAATGTTTCTTACTTTATCGAGGCAGTTCATTCTTACCCGACTAATCTATAAATTAACTATGCTCGTCTCCTTTTTTTACAAATATTTTATTTCTCTTTTTCATTTATTTTATAAAGATTTTGCACATATTATTTGTAAGATAGTTATCGTAAAATATTTTATTTCTGACATCTGGTGTCTTAATCCCCATCATTAATCCACTTAACCCTGCATATAATATATTCTTCAGATATTTTATAATCATCTTTCATTAATTTTCTTTAGGAATTATTTTCCAGACTTTTTTTATAATATCAAACAAAACTTCATAATGATGATGCGTTACACATTTATATTATGTAATCATATTTTTTTTTTTAAAAAATAATAATATTTGCAAGGATTTAATATATTAGGAAATTATTCCTTAGTATGTATATAATTTCTAATGTAATAAAATGCACAATTTTTTTTAAAATATATAAATTTGCCTATAATAATTAGGATACAGATTATTTTCTAATCATTTATATAAATTTTGATAAATCGGTTTATCCTTAACGCTTCAAGAACAGATTAATACTATTACAACACATTAGATAATTACATTGTGTTATGCGAAACCGGTCCCTAAACAGGAAAACGAAAGTGAAATAGGGTTTGATATCATATGATAATTAGGGTCTGGGAATTTTGTCAAAATGATAACAGGTAATTTCTTGAGGTATGTCGAACCTGACTCAATATTTACAAACATAAAAATAATAAAATCATTAATTTATAATGCACCAAATACTTGAATTTTAAAATCGGAAGGGGGAGGGGGTCGTATAATAGAAGAATATATCTAATGATGTTCTGCAAAGCTGCCCGTTAAAAATTTTGCATAAATTTCCCTGCTCGCTATAACTTGGAACCGTCAGGCCCGTTAGAATTTACGAAAAGTCAACATTCTCTTTAAATTTTTTGTCAAATTTTTCGGGAATCACATTTTTAAAATCTAGCTAATTTTTTGCATTATGAATATCTCTTGCCTATCTATTTCTACAACAACTCTTTTTATAAATCAATTGTGTTAGTTATCTGTTTCTAAATTGTGTATCTGGATCATTTCATAAATAACTTATTTAATTTTTTTGTGAATTTACTATATTATTTATAGATTTAGTATTTTAGTTCGACAGCACAATACAAAAAAAATTAGCATTTTGTAATTTATTTCCAATTAATATAATAAAAAATCAAAATATTCGCATGAAATTCAAAAAAAAAATATCAAAATTTTAATGCCAGAGCAGGCCTATTAAAAATTTACAGAAAATCAGGGGTTTGTGCCTTGCCTTCTCTAATCTTTTATGTTTAAATTGTTTAGTCCAGCCCAAAAAATTTTATGTACAAATTGCCTAGCCCTTTAAATTTTTGCTTGGACTACGGACTAGGCTTTGCAGATCTCTGATACCTACTAAAGATCAGCATCAAGCCAATCTCTTAAATTTTTAAAGGTTCTCACCCAGGATCCTTAAAAAAATAATTAATTTGTATCTATGCAAAATTTTTAATATAAATACTCGCTATAATGTGTTTAATATCATTATTGTTATTTTCTTGTATATATATTCCCACGAAAATTTATTTTTCCTTTATATATCACATATCCAAAAATTTGATTTAGTTAAATAAAGCCTTAGGGATACCAAAGCCATAAAGGCCAAGGTATCCAACTATATCCACATTTTCCTGAAAGGGGAAAATGTTAGAGGATATAGTTGCGTTCTGCTCCTTCAACACAACATAAATCTGTGCAGTGGCATAAATTTTGTAAAATATAAATAGAATAACTACTGAAATATTGCTATTTAGATCTTCATTGAAAACACGAATTATAAATTCAAATTATCTTGTATAAAAAATATTTGATTTAAATTATCTCCTTAAATTCAATGTTCCACTAGTAGAGAAAACTTTTTCAAATGTGCAAGTTGTTGGATTAGTGATTTTCTTATAAAGCAAAGTTTTCCCCATGATCAAAATATCAGCAGCCAACCAGCACACAGGTCTACCTGGTTGAGAGTAGAGATCTGTAAATCCTATGCTACCCCTATTTAAGTTTATTCGAGCTGGGTCGGGACTAATATTTTTTTAAAAACTCAACCAGACCAGTTTGAGTTTAAATTTCACTCATTTTTAGAATAAATTGATACATTTTAAAATTCTAGAAACAAGGCACCAATATTTTTTTCACAATTAAATTTTTATTATAATAATGGGCCAGATGGACAAATAATTTTATTTTAGGTAGCGTTTTTCGGGTCAGACAAATATTTTAAATAAATTTTTGGGCCAGGCTTGAAAAATTAGGCCAGTTGCAGATTACGAGTTGCAAGTTTCAGAATAATTTGATGATGAACGAGGAGGTTGAATTTTGAATGAATAATTATGTTTTTAAAGTTTTATCATTGTGAAAAAATGCAGATAAGAAATATGAATTTCTGGGAGAATATTTACTTCAACTTTAGGTTATTACACAATTCTATTCCTAGTTTAAGCACCCCTAGGTGGAGAGTTGAAATTGACAGCAAACAAACTATAAGACTACAATGCAAAAAACGAGTAAAATTAATATTTGTCAAAACCAAGCCATTAAAAATAATTATTTACAATTATATAAAATTGAATCAAAGTACCTTTTTAAAAAAAGGAATTTGAATCTTATCTTATTGTTTTTTATAATAAAAAATATCACTATATATACAAAAAATATAATTGGAAACGGTTTTAAACCAAATTTATTTCATATTTAAAAAGAATGAAAAAAAGGTCCCACCGAGATTCGAACTCGGATTGTAGGATTCAAAGTCCTAAGTGCTAGCCGTTACACCATGGGACCTATGTTTAAATTTAACATATTTTGGAGTTATTATCTTGTGACTTTTTTTTCTGATAATTTTTCAATTGGAAATAAATAATACCCCTGCAGCATTTATTACAAATAGAATGATTAAAACAGATTCATTAGGTCAATTATATAAATTTTTTGTTTTAAATATATTAATAAGTAAACAATTTTTTTTATATATAAAAATGATTTTTTTAATTAATTTAGTAAATTATTATTTAAGTTATTTTGTTTAAAATTCAAAAAAATAAATGGTTGTTTTATATAATTATAAAATGCTATTTATTTTAATTTTATCTTAATTATTTATAAAAAAATAATTTTGAATTTTGTTTTGGGAGATAAAAATTGTTTTTAAATTATCAAAAAAATACTTAATACTTAACATATGAAAACTATAAAAATGCTGACCAAGAATTCATGTTTATTATGGTTGAAATTATCAATAAAATGTCAGATCATTAAATTTTTATTATAAATATATTAGCACATAAATGTTTTAAGTGAAAACAATTGCTCCCATATTTTTTTTATATTAAGGTTTATCTACATTTTTTCATCTTTCTGCTAAAATCATTACCTTTACAGCTGATTCTATTTAAGTGAAATTTTATTTTGGAAATTCAAAACAAAAAAATTGGTTTGTATGTTTTTATATTAGTTTTTAAAATTCGAAACTATTTATTTTTGTACAAAATTTCCGTCAAAAATATCATAATTTTTATAAATTTTTAATATGCTTAGGATACTATAATTAGTGGCACAACAATTTGTCTCAATATATTTTCAAATCAAATTTTCTTCTAAATAATTATTCAATTTCAATATATTGAAATCTTTAATAATTCTACAAATAATTATGAATGTAATTAAAATCTAATAAATCAAATCTTAAAACTCACATATTTTATATTTTGATTTAGCTGACTAGAAAATTTATAGGACACGAATCGTACAACATTTTTTAGAACATCGTATATCATGATAAAAAGTCAAGGGCCTAAAGGCCTAATAGTTGGGTTTGTATATATAAAATAGCTAGAGTTAAATTATATTTACAGTTTATAGCAAGTTTTATTAAATATCTTATAGCAATTTAGTTAGAAACACTAAATGCCAAGTAACAGTAAGATAAAAACTATTTTATTAAATTAAAATGAAGAATTACATTGTGATTATATGTATAATTTTGACTTTTTATGATCTTATTTTAGAATATAAATTTTAATTTTATTATATAAAATAAAATGAAATAAGATAAGAAAAAGCGATATATTTCACAAAAGGTAATTTGAATATTATAATTAATATTTTAATGTATTATAATTTATATTAAAATATTTCTTTCTAACATCTATAACCAATGATATTATATATATCATTGATAGTAATAATATAAAATTAATATTATCTTTAATATTCTTTTAATAAATAGCAATCCAGTTTGAAGTATTTAAAAAAATATCTGATGCGTTGGAAAATCTTATTTGGAAAAATTATTTTGTATTGTTTTGTATTATTTTTTATTATATACTTTTCTTGTGTCTGTATCTAGGATTTACTTTTTTTGTAAAAGATTTAAACTGTATTAATTCCCTTAAATATATATCAGTTTTTATTATGATTTACAAAAGGAGACCGTCTTTCATAAAAAATTTCGTAATTTGTATAAAAATACTTTTTTATATACATTCAACATAGTCTAATTTTTTAGGAGACCTGCAGTTTTTTACAGATTAGGATTCCTTTAGTTGGTGTAATGATTTATTAGATTTTTTAAACTTACTTTAATACATTTCACTGAACTTTTCCATAGATTGCACCTGTTTTTTTTACTAATTTTATTTTTATTGGCCTTTTAATACCAAAGGTTGGAGAAAGCGAGTGGCAAAAGAGAGAACATGGTTATATTTTATATATAGTTAAAACTCCGGGGGTAATGAAAATACATTACGTTGTTCATAAATTATAAATTATCAAACAGTTATATTAAAAAATATAACAATAAATATGTTTTTATATATGTAATTTCTTATTACTACATTATTTATAAAAAACGTAACATTCTAAAAATAGATTATTAATTATGATAATATTGACTTTTAACTAAACTTAGAATAAATATAATATGATAAAGTTTATGTGGATTATTACGTTAGTCTATCATTTTTTTCTATAGTTTTAAAATAAACATTTTAAATTGATGTCGTTTTTAAATAAAACATATATATAAAGATAAAATATTTTTCTAGTGGAACGATAGATTTCGTATAATTCTAAGTATTTTGGATCTAATCTGCAAGATTCCTATGGCTGATGTAATATCTAATCAAACTTCTCGTTACTTCTGTCACCAATGTGTAAGAGAAGTTATTCCAACTCTACCGGTATAATAAATTTAATAACCTGGCTTAATTTAAAAAATAAAATACTATATACATAATTAAGTTTAATAATATTACAATTACCATATGTTTTATTTGCCTAGAATTTTATATGTCCGCATTGTCATTCTGGATTTATTGAAGAGCTATTTAATTTTTCAAGGTGCATATTTCAAATTATTTATTTATATTATATTTTATTTAGTGATGATAGTTTTTCGGTTCCAAATATTAATCAACTTGTTCAAGTTAGTGATGATATACAATTTAAAAATATATTGTTTTCATATATTACTTAAAATATAACAATAACATATTGATAAATAAATAAGAAGTATAATTTATCAAATATTATAATTTTTAATATTGCATATATATTGTAGCAACTTCAACCTCCTGTTCAAGTTACAACTCCTAATGTTCAACATACAAATGTTCCCCCCGTTTCTAATACTGGTAATGGGTTGTTTCACTTCTTTCAAGGACTTTTATCTCGAACAAACCCTGCACAGTCATCTCCTGGACATGCAAATATAAATACTCCCAATGTAGCAGCATCACTCAGCAATAATAGACCACATATTAGACCTTTACAACCTAACAATCCTCCTTATTATTACAATTATGGTAGATATACAGCCTACCCTCCAACTAGGTTTAGTGATATTTTAATATATGATTTATGATTAGTATTTTGTTGAAAGTTTAAAAAAAAATTATTGACATTTGTAATTTAAAAAATATGCTAATTTACTTTTAGAATAACAAAATAGATATAAAATTAAACATTGAATATTTCAATGATTCAGTGGTGTGACTAGTCCCAAATCAATAGAGAGGAGGGGAAGGATTTTTTTGATTTTAAAAATTGACAATTCTTCCTACCCAAATTGAAATATAATATTTTCAAGGCTCCAACTAATATTTTTCACTTAGAGGAAGTGGCAGTGGATGGATTTAATTTTTTAAAATTATTTGTATATTAAACAGAAAACTGCAAAGGTCAAAATTATATGCTCATCCTAGATTTGTGAAAAAGAATATTTTCAAACCTGATTCAGGAATAAAAAGAATATTTACTTTTGAACTGGGCCATTCATTAATTGTTTTAGTAAATTATTTGGTCTGCTTCAAATTTTTTATTTTTGATAATTTTTCAGCCAGGTCTAGAATTTTGAATTTTTTTTTATTTTGAATAATTCTGCAAATTCTTTCCTTAAAAAAATGGAAATTATGAGCAGCAAATGTAAAGTGGAACATTCCATAGTATTATTTTTCAACCTATCAATTTATACATTTTAGGTATGTTTTTTAAAATCATACCATTTTTAACCCATTACAGGCTGGGTTTACATGGACTAGGCCTGCAGGCCTCTGATATTAAGTCTATATTTGGCAAACCCTGCAAATTCAATTTTTATGCCCAGTTTGGACTAAATATTTATTATATACCCAAACCTAACTCAATGATTTTATTGGTAAATATTTATATTAAACATATTTTTTCTAAAGTTAAATAAAATCCTTTCTTTTATATTTTTATTTTAAGCTTGGCCCAATTTATTTTTCAGGTCTGACCTGCTTTATGTTGATACAGGGTTTAAGAGGGTCTAAAATCACATATATACAAACTTAAGACTAATAATTTACTAGTTTAATATCATGTCTATTCTATTATAGAATATATATTTTAAGGAATATTCATTATGTAGCAAATTTAGATAAATAAATTATTTATAAATCTTATATAATACATTTGGGAAGCACTGGCCCCCAATTGTTTTATTGTTGGAGCCTTTAAGTATGTATATACAATGACTTAATAATACATTGATTAACAATTCATTTATTTAAACCTATATCTATACAAATAAGCTAGGGACCATTTCTCATATATTAAAGAAAAATATTTGTACAGAAAAGCACAATGGGATGTCACCAGCTGATTTAGTTAAATAAACCAATCCATATGTAAATTAAAAATATAAAAAGTTTCAATATAAAAAATGGTATATATTTTTATTAAATACTATCTAGATATATTTTGCTGGAATTGAGAAGTGACATAATATATACCTCAAACTACAATAAAAGTAAAAGCAATGGCGTTCTAGCTACTTTATACACTAGTATTAGGGTATATCTCCCACCCTTTAGGATTAGGGGTAAATAAAATATACAAGGAGCATTTTTAGGGCAAACTCCTCCTTTGCTCTTTGGCAATTACGCCACTTATTCAATTTGTAATTATAAATATATATTCTTTTTTTTTCCACACAATATTTGAAAAAAAAATAGGACAGCTAGAAATCCTAACCCAACCCTAGGATCTACAACACCTGCAGCTGCTTTCGATTTGCAAACGTATAAATCAATATTAATTATAATTATAAATAGCGCTATAAAATCATTCGGACCTTTTTTTTTTGAATATATATATATCCTTAATGACCTCAAAACAAAATGAATATTAATATTTGTTTTGTTTCTTTGAATCAGAGACATTCATGAAGCCGACTATCCCGTTCCCAGCCCTTAGGTCTGGTATGGGCCTGATATATTTCCTAAGAGGCTGAGCTGGGCCTGAATTTTTAATTTTTATAATCAGCTAAAATATATTGATAAATTTTAGTATTGCAAACAAAATAAGTGTCTAAACACACTGAAATATTGTTTATTTTCATTGAACACAATGTAAATTTTTGGATGCAGGCTTGAGATACATTTTTGAAATTATTATGGGCTTGAACTGCGCTAGAGATTTTTTTAAGTATTAAATATGGGTCGGGTCTTGATCTACGAATTTTTTTACGGCGAGTCTGGGCCAGGCCCGATCAAAAAATTCAGACTCATGAAGGTCTGAATTGAGTACGAATAAATAGCTTCGATTTTTGAATTAATCAAATTATTTTAAATATTATATTTTTTTTTATCATGGTGGTTTTGATTTAAAAATCTATTGAAGATAAACGATTAGTTTAGTTTTTGCTATCCTTGCAGTAAATAATTGTAGTTTATATTGTTAAATTGCTTGTTTTTTTTTTCAAAAACTAGCAAATTAAGTATTACGTAAGCCGGGAGATTTTAATAAATAATGAATTATAATACATTTACAATTTATACACCGTTATTTTTTTTTAACTCCCGATAAATTATTTCGTTTCGGCTAAAATTTTTTTTTTAATATGAAGGCCATTGCTATTATTCTCTACTATACATTCAATTTTGTCTGATAAATTTTGCAAATTATCTATTTTTTTTTACAATATTTAAAATTTTAATTTGATACCAGGTAGTGTTGTTAAATGGCTTGTAAAAATGGCCAGCTCATTATTTTATCTAGTAACTGAGTCTCGAAATTTCGCTAATTTGTCCAAACCTTTGTGCCATCTATGAGCATGATCTCCAGGCTTGCGCAATATTTTTCTTAATAAAATATTGAGTTAACCGTTTTTTAAATTGGTCTCAAATCGAGCCGTTTAACAATACTAGTTACAGACATTCGCGTAATCGTGCAATATGTGTAATATCTTGTAGAATTATATGAAATTTATAAGATAGGTATTTCAAGATCATATTTTTTTTTCAAAATTATAATAAACGCGCGTAAGAGGAAAGAATGCTGCATTTATAGCAAACACTATTCGTTCAAGCTACGCGAAATTGATCACTAGCGAAATCACAGCTGATTTATCACGGCGATTTTACTTTTTGAAAAACATGTAAACAGCTGTCGCAATTTCATCATTTCGCTCGATAATAAATTATACCTATTTTTGATTTAATTATATAAATTAAATTACGTACCGATAAATTCCGCATCGCTTAAGCGATTCGCGCTTACTATAAATGCGGCCTAAGATAATTTGCTGAGCACGTTTTTTAAAATATCAGATCTGATTTTGCTGAAATTATATTACTAAGCAGCTATCCTATAGAGATTTCGATGAATTTGTTCGTGAACTTGCATAATAATAATAATACGTAGATTGGTGATTCATTCGTTTAAATTTCTATCAATAAAATTAGCTGGGGACATACGGTTTTATGTTTCCCATTATAAACAATCCTTAATATTTTATAGAAACTTTAAAGCTGTGTCCATTTTAAAATTTCGCAAATTTTTATGAAATCATAGGTTAAAATATTTGATATTTATAAAATTTTCTAGAAATTATGTTTTGGGCACGTTCTTATTTTTATATTTTATAAAAGCTGATTTATTTATTTTCATTAAAATTTTCCAATTTAAATGTTTTGGAGATAGGTAAAAAAAAGAAGTAAAAAAATTATTATATGGGAAACCGACATTGTCACCAGCTGATTTTTATTCAACCGACGCTTCAAAATGCATTTTTATTAAGGAAATCATCTGTTTAGGTTATTGGCGATAATAAGGATTAATAATTTTTTTTTGCTTTTTTACACCTATTGCATTAACATTCCACTTATATTAAACCCGTTTTTTTCAAGCTATGCTGTATTTAACGCTGCTTTATTTACAAAATCAAGCCAATAAATAAGTATAATTTATAAATATGGAGCGAAACGATGAAACGTTATGATAAAATTTGAAAAATATATGTTGCTAGCGTTAAATACCGCACTGCTTCAACAAATCGCCCTTACTATAAATGAGGCATCAGATACAACTTTCCTAACCTAATTCATATAAATATAATAGAGCTATGCCGATTCACAAATTTTTAACTGATCCGATATTTTTTAATGCTAGCTAGCAGCCCGGGTATTAAAAATATTTGTTATGCCCGACCCGGGAACGATTTGATTTTTTTTAGTTTACCATCTTAAAAACCAATTAACTATTACGAATGATTACGTTTATTTTTTTTATTCTCAAAATTTTAATTATCTCATTGAAAAATATGAGCAATAGTTGAATGTAATATTTGTTTAAACGGCTCAATTTTGATATTTTTTAAAACGACTGAATCAAGATTTTGGCCAAAATATTATTATCTAGGCCTCGAAATTTCGCCAATAGAAATCCAAACCTTTTTGCCATATGTGGAGTAGGAGTAGGATCTCCCTTCGACTAAAATCTTGTGTTAGTCTTTTTTGAATGTGACTCTTGGATATTTTTTTAAATTCATTTTCTTGTTGCAGATAAATAATAACAAAATATGATATCAAATTTTTTGCTACCTCTAACCTTTTAAAATAATTGAAATTAAAAAAAATGATTACTAATAAAGTGAATTTTATGGTGCTTTTTTAAAAATTAATTAATTATTATAATTATGGTATAAAATCAAAAAAAAATTAATTATATGTTATTTAAAATCATAAAATAACCAAAAAAAACAATGGAAATATTGGATTGGGTTTTTTTTAAATATCAACCCTATCCTATACCTTTTTTAAATACGCTAATCGACCCCGATCTGATCTGATACTTAATATCGCCGAAGCTCTAATTTTAACATTCCTATAAACGAATTTGCCATGCAACAATTATAACACTATGACAATCAATCCAGTAAAAAAACGGGCTAATTGAAGTCAGCTGTTCGCAATTTTGATTGCGCTTTATAATATAAAATATGTATTGGATTTAAAAATTGAGCCTTTTTTTATGGTTTTGTTTAAAAATCTATTGTTTATAAAACGTAAGAAAAAGGAAGGAAGGAAGGAATGAAAGTTTTATAGGGAATGTATTTTAAACAAATGTAGTCAAAATGACGAAAGCTGACTTCAATTAGTCCCGTATTAAATTTCATATGCTATCATCAAATCAGTCAGACCTATAATATCTTATAATAATATTTCTCTTCGACTGAAACAATTTTCTCAAAATTTTTTATAAGAATATTATATTCATCTTTGGGAAAGATTACTTATAAATTTGATAATGGTCTATCTAAAGAAATTGCCATTGCAACAGCTAATTTATTAAATTCCATTCATTTATTTATAATTAGATGACCTGTCAGGTTTGACAGGTTATTAATAAAAATGATTAAATTTTCTTAAAAACCAATCGAAACCCTAACCTATTATATCTCTCAAAGCCTTAAATAACCTTAAATCCCAACTTCATACTTCAATTACTTGTGTTATTTAATATATATTTTGTCCAATTAACAAATTTCCTTCATTTGAACATTCCTTTGATTATCACAAATTCATGCGTTATATTTTTTTTTTAAATAAAAGCGATTAATCTTAAGTTTTTATAACCGGCCGGACACGGGGATATAAATGGTTGTATAATAAACGCCCGCTTACCATACCTGGCAGCCCTTTTATTGATCATCTCTTTTTTATTATTCATATTTATCCGCAGATTGCTAGAACAAATACTAGATTGGGTCGGAACTGACAATGCCGTTTTTCGATTGGATCCCGGTGGCTTATTGTAATTTATATGATATAAAATATACACATATTTGAAAAAAAAATAAAAATCGAAGATCATAAGACCGCTGAACACCTGTCCCATTCCCCACTGCTGGACTTAAAAACGAGGCTTCATTTTTATATAGTTAAGTTCATAATCGAACCGGCCCATGACCAGATCGAGGTTTATATCATAGATTTATTAATTAGCATAGACTGCTACTGTTTAAGTATTCACCATATCTGTTTGATTAAAATACTGAATAAAACGCCATCTATTGTTTTTTTATAAATTTTTATAGGTATTTGTTTAATAAAAGCAAAAAAGGCATATTTATACAGGCCATTCTTAAATTGAAGATTATATGTTATAAAACCTATTACAATTAATTTTTATTATCTTTAAAATTTATTAATCAACTGCTGAAATAAAATATGTTACATAAATAAAGTTATGAAATTTGAGAGTTTAAATGAAAAGAATTTTCGAAAAAGTTACATTTTTTAGTAATTTGAGCTAAGATCCGATTAATTTTTTAAAAAAATGTTTTATTTAGATAATTTCCTAATAAAAAAATTGCTATGAAAATAATTATCGGTAAAAATATTTTTCGGTAAAATAAATCCAGGTAAAAATTCCAATTTTTTGACCCGACAAATGATATGTAATGTAAAAATAAATGTTAAGGAAAATTATAGGAGACAGATTTGAGCATATTGAGAATTTTTTTAGAAGCCTCTCCTTCAAATGGAGGAGTTCCAGAGGATTTCCTGTAGGACTGCTTACTTTCTTCCTCATGATATAAAACAGAGCTATACCTTTAGGAGCCATATTATGCTAGCTATGGCTGGGGTGAAAAGATAGCTCCTTATTATGACCACCTTCTACCATGAAACTAGGTCTGAGTTAAAGTTGGAAGGGAATAATATTCTTTACAGGAGACATAAAATATAAATTTTGGGAAAAGTAGCAATTAATTTTCCAAATAAAAATTGTGTCGAAGAATCAGCCATCCTTGATTTAAATTTAATTGATAAACCCCTGGATCATCCATTCTTTACGGAGATATCCTTTTATTATTGATCGATCCTTCGATTTTTTTAAAAAATAAAGGGATTCAAATTTTTTTAAAAATACTTCACAGTTCACATCGGAATTTTCAAAATTTTAATTTTCCTGCATTTTTATTATTATTAACTTTTTTGCAATCTAAATCCACCAGACAAAACATTCTCACATTTAGAGCGATTCAAAGAAAAGGGAAATGCTTTATTAAAACTAGAATATAAAAGAATTGGGATCGAGATCATATTTTATTTTGGAAGATTGGAATCTGGGTTCGATATTCGATAATATGAACTTCCCCTAGACCACATCCATGCAACACTAACCACTAAGTCACCTTACAGCCATATCCCATATCTAGTTTCGATGAAATTTCGAAAAACTATTATGATAAACAAACTCCTACGGTAACATATTAGGAGGACACGGAGTGGTTCATCCCCAAACCTTCGAGAGCCCCCAAATTTAAATTTCGAAGTTTTTGGTAATGAAAATTAAATTTTATGATAAAAATTAATCACAAATGTATCGACTTTTCAATGCCGATAACAAAAAAAAAGGTGAAGCGACTAGACTGTTACACAAATGTTAGAAATATCGCGTACTTTAAAATATCAGAAAAACGTGACACTTCATCGCGATTTTTTGAAAATTTTTAGATTTAGCCTGTACATACTTTATCTTCATTACTTTTGAATCATGATGAGAGTTAAGGCTCAAACCTCAGCATACATTCCAGACTGTTGTATAATCAATTCCATCGTGTTATGCACAACTATTAATTGCTTGCCAATCACATTCTTTTTCCATCATAGGTCATCCCAGATGCATTGCGCAGATGTTAATCCATTCTTACTTGATAGTAAATAACACATGAAATTTATCATTTAATATAGATTGCAAACAGACGTTCCTTCATTGGAATATAAAATAGATAAATATTATTTATGTGATATATTAAACATTATCGGATAGTTTAACTAACATCACAAATTTTATAAACTCAAATTTAAAAGGTATTTGTTGAAATTATAACCCATATATATTTTTTATTTTTAAGCATTTTAAATGCTGTACACGAAGGTAGGTACTAGGTGCTATCCTAAAATCTCGCTTAAACATAATATATTTAAAAATATCTGAATATATGATGATAAACGTGTATCTTAATCGGTCAAATGCGACGGACATCATCCTCTACGTTGTAAATTTTAACCTGCCAACGCCAGGGTTATAAAATCGATCAATTTACCCTACTCAAACTCATCGTGTGGAGTATCATCGGCGCAAAGGTCTCGAGATGGCTTGTCACTTGATTTCGCCCGTATAGATATATTCACGAAAGCTCATTTTCAATACTTTGAAAATAAAAAAAATAAAACATACAATTTTAAATAAAAAAAATCATGTAAAAATTGGATCAATATTAGGTACCCTATTTTGGGTAGGTTTTTTTTGAGTGCTAAGCTGTCTATGTTAACAAATAAGTCTACCATCTGTCCGATCTGGACAGAACCTATAAACATTTCGCCAGGGACCAAAAATCAAGTTGTTAAAAGCGGGAAATAATTGGATAATTTAAATTATGAATTGATAGGTGTGCTTAGTATATATTTTTTTTCTTAAAATAAGTATTGTTTTAAATAGAGAAGGAATGTAGAAAATCTCATAATTAGTCCTGATTACAAAACTTTTCCTTCCTCTCTCTTCTCTTCTCTTCTTTCTCTCCTCTTCTCTTCTCTTCTTTCTCTTCTCTTCTCTTCTCTTCTCTTCTCTTCTCTTCTCTTCTCTTCTCTTCTCTTCTCTTCTCTTCTCTTCTCTTCTTCTTCCTCTTCTCTTCTTCTTCTCTTCTCTTCTCTTCTCTTCTTCTTCTCTTCTCTTCTCTTCTCTTCTCTTCTCTTCTCTTCTCTTCTCTTCTCTTCTCTTCTCTTCTCTTCTCTTCTCTTCTCTTCTCTTCTCTTCTCTTCTCTTCTTCTTCTTCTTCTTCTTCTCTTCTCTTCTCTTCTCTTCTCTTCTCTTCTCTTCTCTTCTCTTCTCTTCTCTTCTCCTTCCTTCCTTCCCTTCCCTTCCTTCCTTCCTTCCTTCCCTTCCTTCCTTCCTTCCCTTCCTTCCTTCCTTCCTTCCTTCCCTTCCTTCCTTCCCTTCCTTCCCTTCCCTTCCTTCCTTCCTTCCCTTCCTTCCTTCCTTCCTTCCCTTCCTTCCTTCCCTTCCTTCCCTTCCTTCCCTTCCCTTCCTTCCCTTCCCTTCCTTCCCTTCCTTCCCTTCCTTCCTTCCTTCCTTCCTTCCTTCCTTCCCTTCCCTTCCTTCCCTTCCTTCCCTTCCTTCCTTCCTTCCTTCCTTCCCTTCCCTTCCTTCCCTTCCCTTCCTTCCTTCCTTCCCTTCCTTCCCTTCCCTTCCTTCCCTTCCCTTCCCTTCCCTTCCTTCCTTCCCTTCCCTTCCCTTCCTTCCTTCCCTTCCCTTCCCTTCCCTTCCTTCCTTCCCTTCCTTCCCTTCCCTTCCCTTCCCTTCCCTTCCCTTCCCTTCTCTTCTCTTCTCTTCTCTTCCCTTCCCTTCCCTTCCCTTCCCTTCCTTCCCTTCCCTTCCCTTCCCTTCCTTCCTTCCTTCCTTCCTTCCTTCCTTCCTTCCTTCCTTCCTTCCTTCCTTCCTTCCTTCCTTCTTTCCTTACCTTTTTTTTATGAAGCAACTTTTATTTTCGATATAAAACCATACAATAAAATACGACAAAGACGTTTATTTTCAGGAATTATTTTCCCCATATAAACTACTGTTCATATTAATACTCCAACCTTCGATTTGTAATACTTCATGGTTTTATTTCCCGTTACAGAACCTACATAGAATACGACTCCAACGACCCTAATAGACAAACTAGAGGAGGGACAAACTCTATATTCGGCAATGTTAGGGACTACGCCTGGGGCCCCGGCGCTTTAGAGAATATAATGGAGCAGCTGTTCAATCAGATAGAGGGACAGGGTATTCCCCCGGCCAGCAAGGATATAATAACTAACCTGCCCAATGTTGTCATAGACGAAAATGATTTAAGTTAGTAAAATGTTTTGTTTTCAGTCTCCTTTCGTTTTCTTCAAATATTTTGATAAAATTTAAGCGTTTAGGAAAATAAAAATAGGATGTTTTTTTGAAAAAAATATATTAAGATGAAAACCTAATCCGAGATATATCTGTTTGACTCTGGCTAATTTTGGTCAGATTGAGTTTAGGTCATTTGAGATTGTCATGATATGAATATTTCCACAAAACAACGCTTATATATATGTAAAATATGAGGTTATATAACGTTAAATGAAATGCTATTTCCTAACTCTTCATATCATGACAAGTCCCCCCTCACTAAAACTAGGAACCATCCTCCAGGTTCCCGAACGTAACAAACTCCGCCCTTCAATTTCAACCCATTTTATGTCGCCAACATCGACTAGGGTCTCCGACCCTAAATCGTTTGTTGGTGTAGAAACTATTAGCGTTGACAACTCTTATTTGGTCAAGGTCATTCACTGGTATTTTCTCCAAATTCGCGATATTTCTCCTGTCTACACGCTTCCCATTATTTACCAGTGGTTCTTTTAAAGTTGGCTCACGTATTCCTACTCTTGCAGTCAGTCTCTCATTTAGCCACCAACTGGACTGGATATGACGGCCAACAATCGCTGATTTCCTTCCAAATACATGGACGTTCTAAAGTTCATCACAGATACTCCTAGTTCCGATACAAAGGGGATGTAGGGTAAGGTATTGTTTTATATCAGAGTAGATTTCCTCAATATTTCTAGGGAAATAAGCGATCGTTGGCCGTCAGATTCAGTCCAGCTGGTGGAATCTTCAAGTAGGAGTCCGACTACGATAGGGAATATGGGAGTCAATTTAAAAGAAGGCAAGCCATCGGTGAATAATGGGACGCATGTAGAGACAGGAGAAATGAACGAACCAAATAAGAGAGATGGAGACAGAGCGATAGTTTCTGCACCAGCAAACGGTTTAGTATCATAGGTCCCCGAAGAGGAGATAGATGTTGGCGACGGTTGTGGATTGGAACTGACGGAGGCGGAGTTTTATGAGTTACTCGGATCTTGGAGGATGGTTCCTGTTTTATTAGGGGGGAGGACTTGCCATGAAAGAGTTAGGAAGTAGCATTTTATTAATGTTATACAACATCGTGTTTTTTTGAATGCTCTAGTATGATAGTGTTAATTGAATAGTGGCAAGGATTGGCGTCCGCGAGAATATTCGCAATTATATAAGCGTCTTTTTGTGGCAATATTATTAATAAACACATTCTATTTAAATTAATTAATGATTTTAAGTATTGTTTATTATTTTTAGTATTTACCAATATTATTAATTAATTAATATTTATTTGCCAAAAAATATAATATATAAACCGCGTTAAAAAATGTAATTTTTAGAATAGTCCCAAATCAACAAACTCTTTAAGCATCCCACTAATCCTTTTTATATTTTTATTTATAAATCTTTTTAAAGTTTTTTTTTAAATATCATCTTTGTCTTCATCTTATAATTTATTATGTGTTGTTAATCAAATTAAATAAAAGGTAAAAAAAGGGATCTTATAATGAATATATATACAACAAAAGAGATAGTAGTAAAATTGTTATAGGGCTAAATCAAGTTTCTAACATACTACTGTATTTATTTTTTTCAGTTTATCCCGATCTTTAAGGTGCCGCTGAAATCACAATTGTTTTACTATTTAATAAATTATATTTCTTATTTAAAAATCTAATCATAATTATATTAAATTGGTTATAACTTTTTTTTATTCTAGATATGTTGTTACTTATTTTTGTTTATTTTTTTTAATAATTAATTTATTTTATAAATTCTTTTTCGCTAGATGACCTATTAGACGAAATAGATCATTTGATAATAAAATAAATTTATTTTATTATTTAAAAAAAAATATATAATAAATAATTGTCTGGCAATCAGTGATATGAATAAAGAGCTAAGTTTTATTTACCTAGTATCGGCGCATGCTTGGTTAATCATGCGTTACTAATTTCTATACAGCTAAAATAGAATATTAGGTTAACTCGCTGAAGGAAATTATAGTGAGACTTATTAAATGTAACTAGGAATGCTTACTTATCCATTTAGAATGTATTATGTATAAAGTGCTAGTGTTATTATTATTTTACTATATATAACTTTATTTTAAAAAAAATTCAGAACAAGAATTGCAATGTTCTATATGCATGGAATATTTTAAGATCAAGGAGAAGGTGAAAGCTCTTCCCTGCGAACATTATTTCCATAACGACTGCATTGTACCCTGGCTATCTCTAGTAATTTTAATAAATTTTTAAAAAAATATTTTTTAATTTTGTGTGACATTGCCTGATTCTTTAATAAGGTTCGAATTCTAAATACACATCTGGTCGATATTGAGTTATGGTCAAACGCATATTCCTAACACCCTCCCCCTCAAAGAGATGTTTCTAATCTCATGTCAGATGACACAGTGTTTCTTAGAATCTTTATCCATTTAAAAATATAATATTTAAATATACCAATTATAATACACAACTGAATTACTCCCCTCTATTTTCCGCGTAGCATGGTACCTGCCCCATATGCCGAAAGCCGGTAGAACCTACTACTCAACCTGTTTCAAATAATCTGAACCACCAACACCCGCACGAAGTACCCACGGCATATCCCACAGTACCCATAACGAATCCACCTACTCCTCACACAGTCAATCCTAATTATGGCATAATCAGAAATGTGATCCAAAAGTATCCTTCTAGTTTATTAATGTGCCGTGAAACTAGGAATATTCTATAATATTTATTGTATTGTATATATTGCCAATTGAATCTTAATATAATATTACATCTACGTTAAATTTTGTCCAAAATTATATATTTTTTGTTCCAACGTTTTAAAAACTTTTGCAAATCTTTAAATTTAAACGAAATCGTATGTTTTTAGAAATTTGTGCTGTACATGTTTTTATTTTTTGATTTTAAAAAATATAATTTTTTGAATATTAGTTCTTCAAGCTTTGGGCATATCCCAAGGGCATTCTATAAAATTTAGTATATGAATTAAGCTCTAACTCAAATAAATCAGGAGTTATGAGCTTTCAAAATTCAATTCATAAGCCATCTCGGTTCTAATAATTTAAAATTAATTTTTTAATATTGGTCAAAATCTATTAATTATATCATCATGTTCTAGCCCTGTTTTAATAAAATATCAAAATATTTGTAGATGTAATTCCGTAAAACCAAAAATGATTAATTTTGAGCTACCCCAAATTTGGGAGAAAAACTTACCTGATTATTTTATTTATCAATATATTAAAATTTTAAAATAAGAACTAGAACGGATAAAATAAAATAAAATTTAGATACTACTTCCATTTTTCATAATTTTGGGAATAAAAAAACTAAATATAGAGGGCGCTAGTTATTAAATGTAAATGAAAATTTTTATATAAAAATAAGCACTTTTGTTCAAATATATTATAATAATTATTAGAGATTTACTCATACTAGATTTTGAAGGCCAAAATCAGATATTAATATCGGCGGATTATCGATCCTCAATCACTAATTTAATTTTGTTCGTTATACATATTTAATATATTCTAATTTTTCAACCATAAGGTCTGAAATCGATCTGGATTCGTGGACTTCTTCGAATGAAAATTTGCATGATGATTATATATTATTGTGAGGACCTATGCAATAATTCCTCAAGTTCTAACTTAATTAGTTTCCACCAAATTTTTTTTTAATATAAATTTATATTGATATTTAATAAACTCATATACAAATTTTTTAAAATAAATTTAACCTTTACTTTTTCCGGAAATGTAAAAACACCTAAGATAAGAAAAGGATTCCCAAATATAAGGCCTCTATCATTTATATTTTTTGAGTAATCTTTATTTTTTTATCGATTTTTTCCAAATTAGGAAGGGCCCTATTTATTAAACTCCCGCCATATCTCCAGAACTAATTAAGAAATTAAATTGCATGTCCTCACAACATATAATATCGTCATGAAAAGTTTCATTCGATTTGAGAGAGGTCTACAAAGACGCTTTTTGGATTGAGTTTTTATGGAGACGCATAACCATAGCATAAGTCATTTAAAATTTACTATTATCAAATTAATTAACCTACTATATTATGCTTATTCAGCTATATATTCATACATAAATAAAAAATTGATAAATCATTTATTTATATAGTAAAATCGTTTGTAATATATTTTTTATTCTAAAAGTTTTTCTCCTGTAGAAATTAGTATCCCATCTCTATTCATAGTCAATGTAAAGTAAATTGTTACAATTTTTTTTTAAAATTATTTATTTAGTTTTAAAATCATAAACATTATTATAAATAATATAAATTATGTATTTTATTTATTTCTAATTAGCATATTTTTAATTATTTAAAGTTCTTTTTTAAAAAAAATTTATCACCTGAATTTTATAAATAGGCTCTTAAGCTTAATTGTATTTTTTTGAATATTACAATATTAAATACCAATGCTAATAAAAAGATTTAAATTAAGACATTTTATCAAATGGGAAAATATAATAATAACGGCCGATAACCGATATTGTATCGATAAAAATATCTGTACATCCAAAATTATTATGTAATCTTTTATATCAGAGCCTGTCGAATTATAACGAACATTAATAGTAAATTATTCCTTTTGTTCGATGGCGAATAAAGTATTATTCGAATAATTATTAGCATGTTTTTTGATGGAATTTAATCTGTCTTTTCTATTGATAACCTATAAATCTAATAATGTAATTAGGAGGGATAGGTTCTAAATCTCTAAAAATGGGGAATCTCGCTTATATCACCTAGAAAATGTTGTAAGTAAATTTGAAATTTATATTAATAGATGCTAGGAAAGTAAACACTTGTATTTAAATTGAGTTTTTAAAAAAATTACTAAAAATAGAGGAAATATTATTGCGTTTTAAAATTTTCTAGGAGATATAGGCGATTCCCAAGTTTTAGCGATATAGAACAGGGACCAATTAAAATGGGTATACATTAACTGTCTATGAAAGACTGTCAAAATAAATCTCATTTCGTAAAAGAAGACACAATAAGAAAACCTATTTGCCCTTTTGGTTTGGCATAAAAATCAAATTGATAAGCATGCAAATTTATGGCGATTAACCTGATCACGTGGTCTTTAGATTGTTATAGAAAATTATTAGATGTACAATTTTAAGGAATCTCTCAATATATTTTCCTATAAATTGTTTTATATAATATATATAAAAAACGAATTATTAGAATACAAATAGTAAATTTTATTATTCGTTTTTTTGAACAGTACAAGTGTACACCCTATATATTTGTTACAGCTACGTTTGGACTTTATTATTGTTAAAAATATTTAACATTAATGACGTTTATAATTTATCTTTTAAAAATCTTATATTTCGAGCTCCTTTCATTTTTTTACATCCAATATATAAAATTTATATTTTAAAAATCTGAGCCTAAAACAGTCTTAAAAATGTTATTTAAGATTCATAAAGCAAATTATGTTTGTTTTATCAATTCAATCTCTCCTGATGATTGAGGGGAGGAGGACCTTAAACCTGGATCGGGCTTAAAATGCTTATCTCTGTATGTCTTTTCTATATTTAACCATATTTAAAATTGTATATTAAAATTATACGTACACTAAAAAATAATATTTAACAAGATAACTTCCTCTGTATTAAGTATTTTTATTCTCATAATAAAACTAAATATTTTTTTTTCATTTTAATTATTACTTAAACATTTTAATATATTGATATTAAAATAAACATATCTGGTAAGTTTTATTGATATACCGGAAATACATCGACAGTGAAAAAAATTTTTAAAATATTTCTCTATTTTCATAAAGATAATTTTATGGACATAAAATGATATAAATTTTATAGATTTAGGCGAAATATTTATCTAATAATATGAGATTATATTGCATCCTTATTGGACTTTGAATGCCTATAACTCCGGATACATATGTATGCTAGAACTTTTAAATAAGCTGTCGTCTATATATGACCATCATAAGAAGCTTCACACGTTTTTAAGTAATTTTTCGTTTTTAGTCGATTTATCATAAAATGACCGCAAGAACATAATAAAATCGTTTTTTTAAAAATAATTCCTCTCCACTTTGCTTTCCCGTCATATTTAAGTATTCCACCACTGCCCGCCGGATCGACGACGTATTCCGCAGTACCGCTATCTGATCCATCCACGCAATTACCTACTATCCCATTTAGCGGTACCCGCAATAACCTGGTTTTAGATGTGGCTAATGCCCCTTTTCAAAGGTAACCTTATTATTTATTAATGCCACCATATTTTATGTAATAGTGTCGCTTGAGGATTAGTGTGTCTTATCTGACATTTTCTAAAATTTAGAGCTCACTGTTATAATTTAAAAAAAAATTGATTGCTATTTACTTTTACTCTTAACAATGTAAATAGATAGCCCTCAGAGCTCAAACATTAACCCATTAATGGTCAAGATTTTTCTAGTGGATAAAAAGGCTCAATTTTTTCAAATTATATTTGATTAATGCTCAAATATGATATTCTAAAAAAAATCAGCCGAAAAAAATAATCCTAAATAGAAAATCTAGCCTGGTGCATATCTGCACCGATAACCATTAAGAGGTTAACCGTGAATACCTATTTAAAAATTAATTGTTAGAAAGAGCACTCCAAAACTCAACCCATGATGTGTTTAAAAATAATACTAAAACTATTTCATAATATTTTTTATTTATTTACATTTTTTTAGCCATTAATTAATCTCATAAATCTTCAGATACAGGTACTACATCTATCCCTCACAAACTTCCCAGACCATCCAAACCCGCCCAAATTCTAATTACCCCTATATCGTCAGTGGGAGGCCTCCACCGCTACCAATGCCACACACTCCAATTCCGCCATTGCCCAACCGCTTGAACTCTGATAACCCTTATATCGTCAGTCAGAGGCCTCTAGGGCCATTACCGCCTGCAAGACCACCACCGCCTCCATTGCAAATCCCTTCTCCAAGAGCCCAGCAATACAGCATAAACGGTCACGATCCTGTTACAATTAATAATACTCAAGCGAATTTAGATAAGGATAGTGCCGAAAATGTTTTGAAGGGCAAATTGGTCACCGGGCCACTCGAAGATGGCGCTGGTTTAAGTTCCGCTTCTGCTAATAATGCAACAACTAACCCTCCAAATATTCAGTCACCTGGGTCTAGTTATTCTATGCGCGATATCAACCACACGATATCGCCCGGGATTTCTCGCCCCTCGGTGTCCTCTAGAACTGGTTCTAATCATCATCGAAATCATCCAAGTAATTCTGATAGAGATACAAATAAGGTTAATGTAGTCGGTGTCATTGGCGAAAAACCAGACAACGATGCCCAAAATAGGGAAAAGCGATCCAAATTAATGGACATTGATTATGATTGATTTTCGTTTTTTGATATAAAAGAGAAAAATTTTGAATTTTTTTAAATCCCGATTTTATTATTATTTTTTAAAATTATTCTTATTTAACCGTTCTAGACAACTCAATATATTTTGAAAAATATTGGAAAGAAGAATTTTTTTTATATTTATCTTTAAAATATTTGTGAGAATTGATTCAAAGAAGTCTGAAAAGCTTTGAATTAATTTACTTTATACGCAGTTTTTCTTCCTCAAATACAATATCTTAATTCTTTCTCCTCATTTATTTTATAAGTTATTTTTAATTTTTATATAGTGATATGTATCATTTGCTAATTTTAAACAATTTTTTTTTATTCTATAAAATTGCCCTTTTAAAATTTATTTTTTATTTAAAAAAATTTTTAAATATAATTTATTATTTTTTTTTAAAAAAAAAACATAAATTATTATAGACTGGTTTTCGTCGCATTGGCCATTTGGTTAAAATATCTTAAATATATCAAAACACGAAAAAAAACGCGAAATTAAATCTCTTATAATAACCTGAATCGCTTCCTTTACTTGATTATTACATATTTTTCTCTAATTTGAAATTTTTACTTTTGCCTTATTACAGATTTTGTACCTAAATCACATTGCACACTGTTCAGTGATTCCTTGCAATATAACATAATATGTAAATTATATATATTTCATGTATGAAAATGCAATTATGGTAACTTATTTTACTCCAAACCTTTAAAAAAAAGATACTAATACTAATAACTAGTGTTGTTAAAAAGTCGAGTTCACCAGACTCCGACTCAGAGTCTCGAGTCGTTAGTCGAATATGTCGACTAACTCAAACTCAAGTCGTGAACTCGAGTCGTGAACTCAAGTCGACTCGAGTCGTGAACTCAAGTTCTGACCCAGTCGACTAGTCGAATAATGAACTTGAATGTCTGTGAACTCAAGTCGACTCAAGTTGTGAACTCAAGTCGACTCAAGTTGTGAACTCAAGTCGACTCAAGTCGTAAACTTAAGTTCTTAAAATATTCATCCTCTAGTCGACTAGAGTCGACTAGAGGACGAATATTTTATGAACTTGAGTTGACTAGAGGACGAATATTTCAGATATATTATTATTGATATTTGTTGTTATTTACTTTTTACTTTAGATCCAACTTGAGTTGTGAATACAAAATATATAGTTATCGACTAGAGGACGAATAGTTCTCTGAACTTGAGTCGTCAATTTAAGTCGATTAGAGGACGAATATTTCAAATTAATAATATTTATTAAATATTTTTTCTGCTTTTTACATTTTTTACATGACACTTCTAATTTGAATTGTGAAAACTGAAAAGAATTATATAAATGAGTCGACTATATGATGAATATTCCAAATTAGTTATTATGAAAATATTTTTTGTTTTTTATATTTTTTTACTTTAGACTTCCAACTTGAGTCTTGACGTGAATAAGAAGTATATATTTGAAGTTGAGTCGACTAGAGGAAGAAAAGTTCTATGAACATGAGTCGACTAGAGGACGAATATTTTTAATATTATTAATTAAGATATTTTTTGTTTTTACATTTTTTACTTTAGACTTCCAGTTGAGTCGTGAATACATATATAGTTGAGTAGATTAGAGGACGAATAGTTCAAATTAATTGTTATTATTTAAGATTCTATTATTTACATTTTTGTACTTAAAAATTTCAACTTGAGTCGTCAATTTGTGTCGACTAGAGGACGAATATTTTAAATTAATTATTAAGATATTTGATCTGTTATTTACATTTTATTACTTAAGACTTCCAACTTGAATTATGAATACCAATTATTTACTTCATTAACTTATTCCTCATTTTACTTGATCAAATAAATTCATTAACATTTTTTGATTGAATACTCAAAAAAATTCTTATTTACATTTATTTGATTGAATAATATTCTCAAATAATAAAATATTTTGCAGGTATCTGAATATTTTGAAATTATATCTCAACCATATTTTGAATTTTATATAAGACAGACATGTGATAATAATCAAAACTATGAGATGACGGGTGAATCTTCTTTAGCATTCCTCCTCATCTGTATTTACTATATATTAAGTATATTTATAGTCCCTCTTTTAGGTAATTATTTTATTTAGTCATTAATGGTTAATAACTATTAAAATATTTTAATAATATCAAATGTACTTGTCCAAGATACATATATAAAATTAGAAGAAAAAAATAAATATACGTGTTTAAAAAATAGCGATAAAATTAAACAAATCTGGCCAGAAAGTTCGTACTTAATTCTGAACTATGATAGGACATAGCGATACTATGAAATCTAGACATACTGACACATTTAATGAAGGTGTCATGACCGGTCTGTTGTTTTGAATCCTCTTTTTCTAATACCGGAAATTATTTTAAAACTCAAAAAATAGAAGATTTATTATATTTAAATTTATAAATATAAAAAATAAGAAAAAAAATTCTATTATGATTATTTACTAGATTAGATTGAAAATATATTTTATTTTTAAACAAAATATTTTTATCTGGGATGGCATTGTGTGTTTTTATTGATTCAATCGATCCTCATGTGTTGAAGTTGAGTCAATTTTATGACATTTTTTTAAAAAAATTTTAAATATAAAAAAAACAAAAAATGCATGTGTTGTATATATTTTATACAATACCATACATGGTATTGAATCTTTTTAATTAAATATATTTAATCTAATAATTAATTTAATAAAATTCTAAGATATAAAATAAAATTAAAAGTATTTTAAAATACCATATTTTGTATTAATATTTTGTTTTAGATTTATTATTTATATGACTGCAGCATATATTAATTTTAATCTTATTCGAATAAATACTGATATAAAAAAAATAAACAATAATAATTAAATTTTAAATATTTATTTTATTAAAATTCTAACTTAAAAATAAAATTAAAAGTATTTTAAAATTCCATATTTTGTATTGATAGCTTGAAGATTTATTTTTTATATGACTGCGGCGTATATTAATTTCTTATTCGACTCTGTGAATGACTCAGAAAATGTTAGTAACTTTGACAAAAATGAGGACGTGAACGACATTAACCTAATGCCTGATGATATAGACCCTTATTCGGAAGTAAAATTATAAGTTTCACGTCAATCGGCGGAAGATTGCAAAAGATTTTCTTGCCCAGCAATCATCAAGTGTGCCGAGTGAGAGAGCCTTTAGCAAGACAGTGGATTTCTTGACGAAAAAAAGAAATAGGATGTCACCATCCACCTTAAAGCATTGTTTATCCTTGAATAACTGGGATATCGATATATGGCAATAATATTTATATTTTTTTCTTATGTTATACCATATAATATTTTTTTCTTATGTTATATTTATATTATTATATCTTATTTAGAAACAGAAAAATAAAGTAAATTATGTAATTGTTGTTTGATTAGATTAAGATAAGATAATTCTTTACTAAAGAGGTGATTTTTTAAATATTTTAAAAGCTATTAACCATTAATTATAAAATAAAATAATTATCTAAAAGAATGACTAAAGAGGGACTATAAAAATACTAAATATATATTAAATACAGCTAAGGAAGAGTTTTAAAGAAAATTCACCCGTCATCTCGTAATTTTGATTATTATCACACGTATGGTTTTCTTATATAAAATTTAAATAATGGTGAGATATAATCAAAATATTCAGATACCTGCGAAATATTTTTTGAGAATATAGTATTCATTTAAAAAATGTTTATAAGAATTTATTTGATCAAATAAATAGAGGAATAAGATAATGAAGTATATGAATCTTAAATAATAATTAATTTGAAATAAAAAAAAATAATTACCTAAAAGAAGGACTAGAAATACTAAAAATAAATTAAATACAGATGAGGAGGAGTGATAAAGAAGATTCACCCGTCATCTCATAGTTTGATTATTATCACACGTCTGTCTTATATAAAATTCAAAATACGGTTGAGATATAATTTCAAAATATTCAGATACCTGCAAAATATTTTATTATTTCAGATTATTATTCAATCAAAAAATGTTAATAAGAATTTATTTGATAAAATAAAATGAGGAATAAGATAATTATGTAAATAATTGGTATTCACGATTCAAGTTGGAAGTCTTAAGTAATAAAATATAAATAACAGAACAAATATCTTAAATAATAATAATTAATTTGAAATATTCGTCCTCTAGTCAAATTAAATTGACGATTTTAGTTTATTGAAAAATTCGTCCTCTAGTCGACTCAACTATATAATTTGTATTCCTAAATCAAGTTGGATGTCTAAAGTAAAAAAATGTAAATAACAGAACAAATATCTTAAATAATAATTAATTAGAAGTTCATCCTCTAGTCGACTTAAATTGACGACTCAAAAGTTCAAAGAACTATTCGTCCTCTAGTCGACAACTATATATTTTGTATTCACGACACAGGTTGGAAGTCTTAAAATGTAAATAACAGAACAAATAGCTTAAATAATAATATCTATTTTGAAATATTCGTCCTCTAGTCGATCAAGTTCATAGAACTATTGATTAGTCGACACAACTAAATAATTTATATTAACGACTCATGAAAGTCTAAAGTAAAAAATGTAAAAAACAAAAAATATCTTAAATAATAACTAATTTGAAATATTCGTCCTCTAGTCGACTCAAGTTCATAGAACTATTGGTCCTCTAGTCGACACAACTATAAAATTTATAATAACTTAACGAGTCATGAAGGTCTAAAGTAGGAAATGTAAAATACAAAAAATATCTTAATTAATAATACCAAATTTCAAATATTCGTCCTCTAGTCGACTCAAGTAGACGGCTTAAGTTAATAGAAATATTCATCCTCTAGTCGACTCATTTATATAATTCTTTTCAGTTTTCACAATTCAAATCAGAAGTCTAAAGTAAAAAAATGTAAAAAACAGAACAAATATTTTAAATAAATAATGATTAATTTGAAATATTCGTCCTCTAGTAGACTTAAATTGACAACTCAAGTTCAGAGAACTATTCGTCCTCTAGTCGACAACTATATATTTTGTATTCACAACTCAAGTTGGAGGTCTATAAAGTAAAAAGTAAATAAGAACAAATATCTTAAATAATAATAACTAATTTCAAATATTCGTCCTCTAGTCGACTCAAGTTCATAGAACTATTGGTCCTCTAGCCGACACAACTATATAATTTATAATAACTTAACGATAAAGGTCTAAAGTAGGAAATGTAAAATACAAAAAATATCTTAATTAATAATACCAAATTTGAAATATTCGTCCTCTAGTCGATGACTTAAGTTCATAGAAATATTCGTCCTCTAGTCGACTCAACTATATAATTATATTCACGAGTCACGACTCAAGTTGGAAGTCGAAAATAGTAAAATATAAAAACTATTTTAATTAATAATAAATAATAATAGATCTGAAATATTCGTCCTCTAGTCGACGACTTAAGTTCATAAAATATTCGTTCTCTAGTCGACGACTCAAGTTCATAAAATATTCGTCCTCTAGTCGACGACTCAAGTTCATAAAATATTCGTCCTCTAGTCGACGACTCAAGTTCATAAAATATTCGTCCTCTAGTCGACGACTCAAGTTCATAAAATATTCGTCCTCTAGTCGACTTGAGTCGACTTGAGTTCATGACTTGAGTCGACTTGAGTTCATGACTTGAGTCGACTTGAGTTCATGACCTGAGTTTATAACTCAAGTCAGTTTGGGTCGATTTTTTTGACCCAAAACTTGACTCAGTTTTCGACTCAGTCGACTCGACTCAGTCGATTAACAACACTACTAATAACCATACCATGTCTTAAAAAAGAATAATGATGATTAACCATGACAAACTAAATGTGTATACTAAGATTTTTATCCCTCATTTTATTTATTGATAATTTGTATTTTTGTAAAAAAATATCATGCGACTTTTTAATCTCATTTTTATAATAATTCCTAAACAATTTTTGCAAAATGACTTAGCTCTTCCATCATATATTCCTTCTTAGAAACCTTGTTTTATTCTCATCTTAATTCGATTGCATCGTCCTTTTAATTAGCACAAATATATACTAAAAGGCCCGTGTATGATATTAACTTTTTTTAAAATTCATAATTATTATCTTTAAAGGTTAAATTAACTGAGTTCTAATGTCGCCTGTTTTTTTAGTTTAGCCGGATCCAAGTATAATCTATGATGATTTATGTTTAAATAATATTCTTTAAAACTGGTTGGATTTGCTTTTAAATCTTCAAATTTTTCGCTTAATTTAATATAATAATAAGAGCACATGACTTGGGCATCACATGTAAGGTGAAGCTTATCAATTATAATTTATTAAGCCCTTATTGCTTGCATCTTACCTACTTGAATAAATTTATTATGTACTTTCTTTCAATTGTCAGGTCGCCAAAATAGAGAGATATAACGATAATTGCTGTCATTTTTGTAAACTGCTTATGATGAGGCTTAGTAATATTTAAAATATAATAATAATGATTGATCAGCTTTATCAACCAAAAATATTTTCCTTAATAAGCGGATGAAAATTTTCCTCATCTTCGCAAAATATACGTGAAATTGTCAAAATGACTTGGGGAACAAATTTCTAAAACTTATGCCGTTATTTAATGCTTAATTTGTGCCTAATTGATTCTCAACTCGGATACTGGTAAAATCTATAGCGAGTAGGCAAAATAAAAAATATATAACAATCAATATTTTTTCAAAATACTAATAGTACACTTTCAGAATAAAATGTAACCTGATCAAAAGCATGCAATAGATAATGAATGGCTTAAAGCTCTTCCGGTAAAATTTATGGTGAAAAAACTTCTGTTATTAAAGGGCTCGAATATACATAACAAATTTATGCTTGCCTGGAGGTTTTTCTCGTAAGATTTGAACATAATTAACGAAGTCTAGGAAAAAAACTCCCAATGCTGCTTTTCAGCAAAATCCTGACTACGACTATGCATACCCTATTTAGTTGAATAATAAAAACATGGTGAGACTATTTATTCACGAATTGGCAATTCTTGTAAACATCAAACTTCTGCTGGGCACCAACAGAACATCAGTTGAGATGATTAGTCATGATTAACTTCGTTTAAAATTATAATATAGATATACCTGAACATTCGAACAACCCATTTCTTTAGTAATTATAGTTGTCCGAAATTATTAAACCAACAATTTATTAAATATGTTAATGAAACCTGCTAAATTTACTAGTAATTTATTACAATTTTTAGGCCCGACCCGGATTTTTAAAACCTAATCAACCGAGTCGGATTACAAACAAGTACTAGAAACTGGCTCAGTCGAACTCGAATAGACAATTTCTCGATTTTTATTTTAAAATTTATTTGTGGCTAGCCATTTTCTTACAACCCAGTCCAGGTCTTATATTCTCCGTGTTTTTTTTTAAAATTTGATTGGTCCTTCAAAATAATGTTGATTTAAATTAAATTTAATTTTTTTAAAATTATATTGTGTAGTGTTTGGTTTTTTTTTCAATTCTGTTTTTATTTTAATGCTATGTCTTGATTTTTATTGCTATTACTCTCCAGTCTTAAATGAAGGAAGAAAGAAAAAAAACTGTTGAAATAAAATACAAATCCTTCTCTTAATCTTAAACTAATCAGCTGAGGTTAATTGTGCTTGGCAATGAGTGTTATACAATGACATATAATAATACCTAGACTGTCATTCATTAAAAGTGTACATCAATACAAATCAGCTAGAGACGCCATCTTGGTTACTGTAATAAATATTAAAATTTTAAACGAGAGCCTAATTTTATATTATATCTGATGCAAACTTTATTAAAGAATTGCCTGATCATCGAGATAATAAGAAAGTAAGTTATCAATTTAATATTAGTTTTTAACATGAAAATAATTATTATAAAGGTTACCAAAATGGCGGGTCCAGCTGATTTGCTTTTAACGACGCTTAAAAATGCATTTTAATGAATGAATCGTCAGTCTAGGTATTATTATATGTCATTGGTGTTATATTATTTTCATTTAGCTAAAATTGACTTTTACAAAGGTATTTTTATAAACCCTTCTAATAATAAAATATTTATAATTTTAGAAATTTATTAAAGTACTGGAACAGGGAAACAACATTTTATTATATATGTATAATAATATTTTATTTGAAAAATCTTAATTTTGAGCTTCGGGAATTTACAGTGATATGGGATAGTAAAAATGTGATGGAATAATTTATTTTGAAAGAGATAGGATTTAATTATTATCAATACAAATCAATCAAATTATGAAATTGAATTAAATTCATTGATTTGTGAACATTTTAAAAAAAATAATGTGTTTTTAATTTTACAATATTTTTTGATCTCTTATTATAATATACTAATATAATATTAGTGCCCATTTCATCAAAAAGATAAATAAGGCTGTGTCCAAAATATCAAAAAATCTAATTCACGAACTTTTGAAACTTTAAATGAAAATTAATAAATAAGGTATTTCAAATGTAAAAATATAAACATAATTTTAGGAAATTTCTAAAATAATACGACTTCATTAAAATTTGCGAAAGTTTTTAAAACTTCGAATTTCTTAATAAAAAAAGGATTTTGGACCTAGCCTAACAAGAAAAGAGAACGAAAAAAATTTACTATCTAGGACTTTAGCTTATAGGGGGATTCCCCACTTGCGCTCTTTAAAATTCTATGAAAATTAATAAACAAATATATTACCCGTTGTAAAAAAAAATATGAGATAGAAAAAATTTAAGATATAACAAAATAATAAGGTGATTTGTGGGAAATGAAGGAAATGTATAATACAAAAAAATTTAAAAATAAAAATTAATGAGTGCGAATAAAAGGAGAAAACACGAAGAAAAAAAAGGGGGTGTGAGAATGTTGTTTCCCTTTATTTATTTTTATTCTAATATAGTGAATTCTTCTATGTACACAATTTCAGCATGATCAAGATAGCTATGAGAGTTTTGAAAGATCCATTCGTCAGTAGATTAGCACTAGCTCCATTACGCTTAGTCGCGGCTGTGGTAGAGGAAGGGTTAGAAGGAGCGATAGGGCTTACGTAAATCAAGGTTATATTCGCGTTACAACCGTCTCCCTTGCAATAACATATTGTGGACATGAAATTGGCTATCGTGCTATGCTTCTCGCATAATATGGTATTTCCCGTCATTTGAACAGGATAGAGAGGTGTAATTAAAGTATTAGGGATGATAGTAGTTGACCAATTGTTGGTTGTAATGTTATGAACCAACAAAGCTATACCTGAAGAATTATTAGATGCAAGCGGGTTGGAAGGCCATGTCCAATTATCCGCACATTCCCTAATGTAACGGACTTCGCTTATGTTGACACCTCCTTTTTAACATATTAAAATGTCAATTTATCGATCGTATTAATGAATTGTAATATATCGAAAAGTTGTTAATACTTATATAAATATATACATAATATTGTTATTTGGTGTGAAACTCTCCTTCCGGATTAAAAATACCAAAATGGAGCTTCAAGTATCTAGTAATTTTTTCATAAATGAAAAGAATATTTATTTTGAAAAACCTTTCAAATATATGAATTGAGTAGTTTTCATACAATACAAGACACCAGTAGCGCATTCCTTCATAAATTGAGCATCCATTGCGGTCGTTCTATTAGGCATGTGAGATTCATCGCATTCTGGTTGGTTGCGCGAGTTACAAACGTAGCATTTAAGAGCGCCAATGTTTGGGAAGGTATTAAGAAGGCATATCACAATCAGGAAATCGAGAAACATTTTTTTTTCCTAAAAAGTTATTATTTTTTTCTGCTAATTATTTGTACAAAATAAATTTTTCCGAGATAAATCTACAAAATTATAATCCAAAATTTTAGGCTTTTACCTATAACAGACTCCAAAAAATTTATTAAATATAGTCAAAAATTTTTGATTTTTTTTTGAGAATAATCAAGATTTTTGAACAAAGTTTACCTTAAAGTTTCAAATCTTTTGAGAGCAAATATTTGTTGATTTTTACGCCCAAAATAAATTCTTAAAATTTGATCTTCTTTAAAAAAAAATTTTTATATTATCTTCAAAGATTTTTTGATCCAAATTTTATTTCAAACAATATCTTTGGAGATAGATGCAATATGAGATATCAGAGGAAAAGAACGGATAACCAATTGAAATAGGAGCAATTTTGAATCAATAGATGATACAACAAATTTTATGATCATGGAGTTTCATGATTTAGCTAAGCGATCGATTTAGATTGATTAAAAGTGATTCGTTCATTTCCCCTCTCCTTGGTTCATAAACTGCTAGTACAATATATCTCGTATTTAGTTCGGAATCTCGCAAATTTCAACCAGGAGTTATTTTTAAAAGATATAATTAGACCGGAAATGTATACCAGAGTAAAGTTCTTATTATGAATTTCCGACAATTTTTACATTAACCTTAGAACTGTTTATTACTTTTTTTTAATATTGATTATACACCAAATATTATTGTCGAAAATTGTCTAAAAAAATGCATAGGTACCTTTCTGCATATCGTGGTATGCTCATTGCAGGCTCCTAACTAAGGAGGCGCGAAGGTGGGATAGTAAAATATCATTTTAAGCTAATAAAAATCCCCTTACACCCCTTCCCTACCTCTTAAATGTCTACAAATATATCACTATAAAGAAGAATTTGATAGAAAAATTAGTAAAAGTTAATAATCTTTTTAAAATAACGACTATGATTCCAAACTTTTTATATTAAAAAAGCATTTTTTAATATAAAAAAAAATTAATAAGTGGAAACCCAATATTTTATAAAGATATCTACAATAAGTGGGTCTAAAGACCTCCAATAAAAATGACAGAAATTCTCATTTAATATTCCCCCTCCCCTTACACATATGAAAATCTTGGATACATATAAGGCTCACTGCATGACCTCTTAAGTACCTTTTTTTTAAAAAAAAACATGTTCAGGAAGGACAAAAATATTTTCTAATAAATCCCATTTTAATTTTAAAAAAAAGGATTGTGTCCCAAAAACATCAAAAAAATTAAATTTCACAAACTTTATAAAAACTTTCAAAATAAGATATTTTAAAATATATAAAAATTAAAAACATGTCCAAAACATTTTTTTTAAATATAAAATTCAAAAACATACGATTGCGATTGAAATTATAAAATTAGGTTTAAAAACTTTGAATTTTTCAAAAAAAAATTGTTTTCATAGCTTAATTGCAATAAAAAACATTAAAGTTTTATATAATCTTATGGGTGCCTCATAATATTTTTTGATAAAATAATTAAAATATTGACATTTTTGGAGACGACCCTATGGTTTGTAGATCTCTGATATATTACCATATTTAAATTTGTTCTTCCTATAAAATTAATATATCAAATTTCCAAAAATTGGAGATAGAATAATCTTATATTATTACGCAATGTACCACTTATTACGCGCGATGATTTTACTTGTTACATTATTTATTTTTTAATCGTTCAAGTTCAACTATAATTAGCGTTTTCTTTAATCATTTTCAAATCAAGCATTAAAATATAAGTAAACAAACAATACATGTTTTTTAATGATATTTGGTCATTTTAAAAGCATCAATGCCAAAGTTAATTTGGCATCTTCCTTCACTTTTACATTTTGAATGTCAATACATACATATTATAATAAATCAAATTATGTTTATTTTGATATCTTAAGCGAAATATTAATGGCGAAAATTATCTAATTATAATGACATATTTTTGTTATTTTTAAGAAATAATTATTTTTTTCTTATTGATAGATAATTTCGAAGGTATAATAAAATTTAAATGTTTTGAAAATAAAATAATAATTTACTATGTGTATCAATTTGAAGATGTGGTTAAAAAATAATAATGTTATCTAGTGTTACAAATAAATCTCTAACTTTTCAATTTGTTGAAGTAATGTTAGGGACTAAAGGGAAAAATGTTAAAGAACGAAATGCGAAGAAAGGATTGAAAGGGAGGAAATTGAAAAAAAAACGGGAAGAATAAAAGGGTAAGAAGGGTAGAAATCTTGCGGGAGGTGGGAAGAAAGAAAAGGAATGTTAGAACAGAAGATAATCGCTATGAATGTATTTTGTATAAATCAAAATTTGAAAATTTACTCCTCTAAATTTTAAGTTATTGCTAAAAAATCTTATTGAAAAGAGATATTCTCTCTCCATCCACTAGAAATTCCTAAATAGGGCATTGAAATTGGAGCATCTTTCTCTCAAGCTGAGGTAGGGCAGAGCCCCACCAATTATGCCTTAGATCATATACCTTATAATTTTCATAAACCAAAAAAGTTATGCTTTACGGGGGAAAAAAAATCAGAATAATTTAATCTCGAAATTTTTTTTCTTTCTCAACCATACATTACTGGCATATTAACGAATTCATCTACTTTGATATTTGTTGAAAAAAATATTTATCTTATACGAAAAAATGAATTAGATACCCCATCTGTAAAATCCATTTTAATATGAGAAGATGCAATTATATTGACATTAATAAGTAACAAAAATAGAATAATTCTTATTGGAAATGAACCATGGAATATTTTTTTATTATTTTATCAAATAGAACTCGGAAAATTGTTTTCTTTTCATTTTTTAATTTGGCCAACAAAATTTTTTTTCTCCTCGCTTTATTAAAATATTAATAACACAATTCTGAACTTTAATCATCAAAATAATAATAGGGTGCATCATGTAGATATCCGTAAAAATAGGCCCCGGCCCAGGTACGACCTAATATATTTAAAAAAAAAATTTGGGCCTGGTAGTGCCCGGTAGGGTCTTTGAATTTTCTTTAAATATATCTATATTTATCAATTTTTATGTGGAATCTTTTATATAATACAAAAATATCTTATTTGGTATAATAATTTGTAAAAAATTTAATTATAATTTAATAAAAATTAATTTCTTCGGGTCGGGCCGGACAGGCAAATTTTTTCCTAAAAATTCGAGTCGGGCTTAAAAGATCAGGCCCTATGCAGACCACTAATATCATGTGCTAAAAATATTTATTTAGGAGAGGGGTTGGGGGGTGTCCAAATTGAATCTAAGGCATGTTGAGCCACACTTTTGCCACTAATACATGTGGCATATCAGTCCGATTTTAAAAAAAAATTGGGCTAAATATTAAATCTTTGAAGACTGAAAAGCGGACCGGAGTGGAATATTGATCTTCCATTAAACTCATACAATATATATAATATAAATGGAAAGTGTTTTTTTTTTCATTCTTACTTACAAAAAAATAAAATAGAAAAATTTCCTTTTCCCAAAAACGAATGATTTCAAAATTTTTTACTGTGAATTATTTCCTTCTATATGATTTTAAACAAAAAATTATTGGAGCTTTGATAATGAATTCTAATAAAATAATTTACTAAATTATATAAACAAATTTTTCCGATGAAAGTTGGTCCCCTTGATTTTGAATTTTTTGCAAATAAAAAAAATTTAAATTAAGAAAAGTTTAATTATGTAAAAAAAAAAAATTAAATTATTAAATAAATAAACAAATTATAAAAATAGAAAAGAAAATTTGATCAATAAAATAACAAAAATAAACAAAAAAAAGGAGTGAAAAATATCAAAATAAATATTTATTATTTTTTTTGATTTTAGCTGGACAAAATAAAATGTTGGACATTTAAAATCGATTTTTTTAAAAAAATAAAATAAATAAATAACCTATAGACTTTTTTGAGATTATGTATTTTTTTTTTCTTAATTTGTAAAGTGCTATGAAAAATTGGTAAAGTATAAAATCAAATCAAATTAAAAATTACGTAAACCTGTATTTGACAAACTTTTATTTTTCAAGGACCATTTATGAGCCATTCAAATTATTACATGACCTTTAAAAAAAATATTCAAATTTATTGTTGTTGCTACAGTTTTAGAATAGTTTTTGAAAATCAAAGTTGACATGTTTATGATCGCTCAAGTTTTGATAGCCAAACCCCCCCCCCCTCCCCTACTCCTCATGACATAAAAATAAAGTGCATTTTTTGTAGCTGTGATGAGTCGAATAAATGTCAAATAAATTGTTATTTTGTTTGTGATTTTATTTTTTTGTTCCAAAAAAAAATGAATGATTTTGAATATTTTGAAAGCCTAGAAGGGGGAAGATAGTGGAAAACTTTTTAAATTTAATTAGAAAATCAAATAACGGGATATCATATTATTATTTTATCGTTTGAAAAATGGAAACGTATACCGCGAAAAGTTTTTTTTACTCCTCAGGAAATGATGATATGAGTAAGCGATTCGAGTATCTTAATGAATGTATGCATAATTTGTTTTAAAATAAAATTGAAAGTTTAGTGTAATATCTTCATAAGGTAGGTATTCCAAATATGCTGAAAAACATTTCCGGTAAAATCCGATTATAAAATTTTAAAAAAAACGCGCTCAAAAAATAATTTAAAGTTGATAAAATAACACATTGCTGGTGTAACATATTCGTATTCAATGCATTATCTAACGTGAACCGAGGTGTGAGTGTGAAATGAATGAAGCTAGTTTATAATGTTTTTTTTTTTAAATATTAAAATAATTTGTGAAAAATATTTTAAATTTAAAACAATCGAAATACAAAAAAAAATGCAAATAATAAATGTTTTTAGGAACAAAAAAATTCATTAAAACAATTAACAAAGGAGTTTTCTTCGTATAATTGTAAGTATTACTCTTTTTTTTTGAAAAGTGATAGCGTTAGGTTACTACTCTTCAAACTAAGAAAGTTTTTTTTTCTTCCTGTTATGTGTGGTAGTTTAGCTGATATTGAATTAAGATTTTAGCCAAAATAATACCTCAACAAAGTCTAGAAATTGTGTTAATAGATGCCAAAACCTTTCTGCCCATCCTTGAGCTAAAAATCTCAAGGTGTGCGTAAATATTTTTTAAACTAAAATATTGGGTCTAGCCGTATCTTTAAAAAATCAAGCCGTTTAACTAACACAAGTAGTATGGGTAAATTACAACATTTTTTTATCATTAATGGTGGGATTCTGATCTTAAAAATTTAATGCACCTCAAGTTGGCAGAAATGAGAAAGAGAAAAATATTTATTGGGATAGACTGTTAGAAATAGAAATTCTGGCGTTAGAGTGAGCAATCCAAAACTTACACGATATCGATTTAGTTCCTCCATTTTTTTAATGCGCATTTGAAACATCAAAAGCGAATCGCCTTTTGGTGAATTATTAGTTAATGGTAAGTGTGTAGTGGCTCCAATGATTACAGATCTGGATTTTAGACGCAGCCAAAGCTATCACAATTCGAAGTTAGTCACCGGTTTAAGGACAAATTTATTTCTGCAACCGACCTTAGGAGAACGATATATTAGAAAAAGGAAATAGGGCCAGAAGGTTAGAGATATTTCTATTATTAAAAATTTGTTTTTTTAAAATATGGTGTTTTGCAAATAGGCACTTTTAAGCCCCACTCTCACCCACCCCAAGCCGTTGGGAGTCATTATCGAAAAAATTCTCAATTTCATTGACGACCTTGTGTCGGAATTTTCCCTTCCTTCCTATCTATTATAGTATTAGTGTCATGAGGCGTTTTTATTATTATACAGATAATTTGTCATATTGGGAACTAGAGCATAATTATCATTGCAAAAAGTCTGAATTTGAAACTATTATTCACATATTATTTTTATATTATATATAGGAATGATAAATTTAACTATAATCAAGGCTATACAGTTTTGTCGCTAACATTTTCAACAGTTGAGGGAAGAGGTTACTCTTTTTTGCAAAAAAAAAGGAAGAGAGATTCCACAAAATTTTTAAGGATCATGATGCCCCTGCCCACCTTAACCAATCCATTTAGATGTAATCGATGCATCCTTTAATAATATTACCTTGACTCTGGAAAATTTTCTTTTTTTTTTAAATGAGGTTATTTAATAAAGAAAAAAAAATAAGAGAAATTTTAAGTGTTTCACATTGGAAATAAATTTTTAATATAAAGTTTGAATAAAATAAAATATTAATTAATTTTTTTTTCATATTTTATATAAATTTTAAAAGAACGCTTAAAAATGTTATTCGTTTAAAAAAAGTGAACCAATAGCGATACTTTATTTGAAAGTAACGACACATTATTTGTCCTAAAAATTCGGTTGCCGTTACTTTTATACAACCATACCTTACTTTATAATAGCACAATCAATGTCCTAAATTACACAGAATAATTATTTTTTGTTAAAAAGAAACGAAAATATATTTTGTTGAATAAAATCAAATATTTATATGGGGTTCGCCAAATGAGTCATTATATAGCAATTTGATTTTGAATATAATACTATTAAACCCAAATCACCATTGCACCCGATTCGCTATATATCATGACGCGAAGTACCTAAATACCTAGTGCACCAGGAAAAAACCTTTCTTCTTCCTGAATTCGAACCTAGGTTGAAATCTAAAGTGATATCTCAATCAACAACTATAACGACGTAATTAAAGACGCTATTCGCGAACAACCATTTTCTTTTGGTAAATACAAAGATAATTTACGACGTTATCTAATATTTCAATAAAAACATCAAAAAAATTGACAATGTTCTGCGTTATTCATTATTTACCCACAGAGGATTACCTTTTTTTTAAGAAACAAAATAATATTTATGTTATTATTTTTTTAATGCCTCTTTAACTGGTTTTCATAAGTCTTTAAATATTCTTAGGAACTTTTATATAATTTTACCCCTCTCTCTCTCCTATATCTTTATTAATTTCGTTTTTTTTTAAAAAAGATATAAATTTATCTAAACTGTTTAAAGCATCATCAATATTTGGCCAAAAAAAAGTCGATAATTTTATTTTGTAAGTTTATATTATATATAACAATTTCACGACCGATATTAACAGTAGAGTGATATGTAACAGTGTCGACATAACTTGTTTTGACATTTAATCAATAGTTACTTTTTGATATTTTCGGGTTAAAATTTAACAATTGTATTAATTTTTCATATAAGTTTGGATATAAAAAAAAATTTGATCTGACTTCTTTTTTAAATTACTCATATCATATTGGCTTGACTAAAACAGTTGTTATTTATAAGTTTTTTCGACATTGTTATATAAAGCATCAAAATGGGAAAATATTCCTTGCACTCTAAAACCCCACTCATGGTTGTAAATGCCATCGCTGGCGAATGATAAAATGATTGATATTTACTTTGATGAAAAGTGAGTATCACTTAGCCTGCATTTGACATATAGATCAACATTTTATTTATTAAATCAGGCCCTTTCTTTCCTAGCGAGTATATGAAGAGAATATATATCACCATTTTATAACAGTCACCAAAAAAAAAGCAGGGTTCGCTATTTTGCAGATAAATTATTTATCTTTCTTGAGTTACTTTCCTCTTTTAATTTGTAATTTTTTTCTTATATTGTTATTGTGTTTAAAAAATTCTACTTTATATATTATGTTATGAATAAATCATATTATTATAATTTGTGAGACATTTTACTCATAATAAATAATATAATGTTACATTAACATACATAATAGCGAAGCAAGTATATAATTATATTATGGATTTTATTTCCATAATTATAAATATGTAAATTTAGCATTTGCACATTATAGTTATGCATAATTTAAATAATCTATATAATATTATATAGAATTATAAATAATATTTTCAAAGTTTTCTTTAAAAAAAAATGTGTGTAAATAAATCTCCGTTTTTTAATGAATTAAAAAAGATTCCACAAGGAATACGCGCGTGGCTTATTTATATTATATAATATATAATTTAAATTCAATTAATTATATACAAATTCAAATTTTAAAAAAAAAGTAAACACTTGTCAATTTTTGCCTAACTTTATTACTTAATTTAGAATAATATAAAATTACATCTACACGAAGCCTCATTTATGTGAGGATTTATTCACCATTAATACAGAATTTACTTGAAATAGTTTGGTATAACCTTTTTCTTTTGTACTTTTATTCTCGACATTTCCACATAATGTGTACAGCGTATATATATGATATTATACTGTTTATTGTAACAAATGGTCTCCCGCATCTAGAATAATTTTACTGCATATATGAGAACACAGCGCGTAACGCTGAAAACTATCATTTTGTTTATCTTCTACTAGCATTGAATATTTGTAACGGAACAGCGCTGATATCAAGACAGTAGATAGGCCAAGCATGATGACGCCCAGGAAGATTCCTTTAGAAGAAAGAACGCTAACTATATTTGGCGGAGAGTTATAATTGTTATGGTCTTTTATTCCGGTCACAGATATTAGATCATAGCTTGGCTTTACGTTTGACGACGGTGCCTTATAATTTTGGCTTCTTTTGGTAGAGTTGGATATTACAATTATTCGGAGCTTATTAATATCTATTGTTAATATGTAGCAAAATATCGGATTTAAAATTTTTTTGGAAATCTTTTAAAAAATTAATTTTTAGTTTTTGAATTAATTTAAGAAAAATGATTCTTTACATTCATTTTTTTTTTCGCGATTCCAAAAAACTTCAATTTCTAAACTTAATTTTTTGATATTATTCCCTGTTATTTTTTCTAAAGAATAAATTATAACAGACTTTACATGTCCATTTAGTTTTGTTAAAAGGAATCGATTTTTTTAAAAACGGCTAACTCAATATTTTAACCAAAATGTGTTCTGCAAACCTGGAGATTTTGCTCATAGATGTCAGAAAGGTTTGGACATCTATTAGCAGAATCTCGAGGCCTGAGTATTATTATTTTGGTTAAAATCTTTTAAAATTGGTGAAATCAAGCTCTTTAACAGCGCTATGTCCATTATACATACCTCTTCCCCACTTTTCTCCGAAATAATTTCCTTTCCTCGGAATCTGCTCAAATTTATATAAAGGTCGATTTGTAATTAGAATGTCTTTCCTATTTAACAAATCTGCGCTAGTTTCAGTCAGACATAGAAATAAGAAAAACTTCTAAGAATAATTTTTTTAATAAAAAAATATAAATTAACCCTAATTTTATTAAAAAATGAATTCTTATTTTTGGTAGACGTAATATAAAAGAGCACTCAAATTTCAAAAGAGGGTTCGATATATAAATAAAAATATGAATGATACCTTTATCAGTCCCGCCGCCACTCAAGAAACGAGTATTTGCGTTACACATTTCCGTTTGGCAGCACGCGACTACGGGCCATGTCCTGGTAGCTAGTCGCGTGTAAAGCCTATTCTTGGGACTTTTATTATGGCAAATTATTGGCAGGTTGACTCCCCTGTAACAACCCTTTATAACCGAACCTAGGCTCATATTTTGAAAGAGTCCCATAGATCTTTCAACGTATTGAGTGTAACAAATGGAGTTAGAAATGCAAGTCTTGGTAGAACGTTTAAGGCAATCAACAGTCGAGCACTCGCAATTGATGGCACCTTCAAAATAAATAATTTCGAAATATCAGTCAGAGACCTGCAGGTTCTGCCCCTAAACGAACCTAAACCCGAGCCGGTCCTCATATTTAAATTCCCGGGCAGGGCCAGGCCGAATATTTTAAATCGCGATTATTATTATACAAAAAAATTAAAAATAAATACATATATTGGGACATAGATTATATTAACAAAATATTATTTACACTTCATTTTTTTTTAAATAAGAAATTATAATTAATTTAGAATTTATAAATGTCGAAATTTTTTTAAATTTTTTGCCAAAAAAATGTTTTTGAAAAGTAAATGATTTTTATCAATTATAAAATTTTTATATTATTAATTTTGTATTATATTGAATCTCTATCAGTTTAGATTAGAGAGAATAATTTAAAAAATTATTCTCAAAAATTATTCTCGCTGATAACCTAACGGTAAAATATCGAATAGAAAATTTTTTTGTATACACCCATGCCAATAATTTTTTTTTTAAATAATCCAAGCCGGGCTGAGATATTTATATTTTAAAATAAGAATTTTTTTTTACAAATCCGAGCCGTGAAAACAGTATCTGCAGGTCTTTGATATCAGTGTTAGTTAGAATAAGATGATAGAAACATGACTCTTCACGGAAAAATGGAAGGGGTTGGGGGAGGGGGGTAAAACATATAATTATATATTGATATGTCGCAACTGTATGGAATCAAGAGAGAATCTTACAATTTTAAACCATTTAATCTATAGAGTATCTTTCCTATGATATTTCGGCCAATCTTCGCCGTTAAACCTTTGTTGCACTTATTTACTTATTTTGTTTTTACATGAGAAAAATCCGTAAAAAATTATGAGAATTAGTTTAAGAAATTCATGCAAAATTTGTTTTAGTTAAATCAGGCTTTCAGTAAAATGATTATAAAATTGAGAGATTCAATCCCCCAAGGATTTCATATAGACATTAAAATATTGATCATCATTTTTAAATTATTATTTTTTACAATACTTCCAGCTGATTTATTATTTCTCGTAAATCAAGAATGTATTAAGATATAACTGTTAAAAAAAAGGAACTTAATTTATAAAATTCCAGTTATTCGACTTTTAAAATAAAAAAATTTTGTACACATTTTAATCATATTTTAGAGATATAATAATCACCCCATGTCAAAATCTACACGTTTAAAAAGAGTGCCATAGCTGTTTTTCTGCATAAAATACTCTCTATTTAGAGAACAGAAATTAAGAGATACTAAGACACCTCCTCAGGTATCGTTGGCTAGATAGCATTTCAAAATTATTTTTAGGTAACAAGATATTCTATCTATCAAATTTTATTTCTTGAAATATAAACAAAATTCAAGTGGCCCTAGAAAAAAAAAACTAAAGGATTCACATCAAAGCTTTAACCTCCTTACCCCTTCACATGTGATTGGATGATGAAAACAACCAATCAATATAGAACGGCAGCAGTTAATTTCCGATTTTTTAAAATATCCTTACGATTATGACAAATTACAAAATTATAATTTAAATTTAAAAAAAAATACTATATACCTTGGGGCCTTATATAATAAGTATAATGAATGAGAATCACATTGATAATTAGATAAGAAGGAACCATTTTAAACGTTGAAATAGGGAAAATGCAAATATTTTTTTTACAAAAATTTATCATAATTGTAGGTTCTATTTTCCTCACCTTTAATCGGTATTAATCTATAAAACATAATTTAAAAAAAAATTTGTGTTTAAAATTGGGAAATTTTGAGTTAATCATTTATACATTAGAAAAGCCCTACATCAAAAATTCTTTAAAATATTTTGTTTGTTTTGCATAATGTCGTTAATCGCCTTTAGGACATACTTTTAATATGAGCATAAATTACGGGGAGTTCAATTATTTTTGAATGACGAATTTTTTTTGGTAAATTTTTAAGTGTAAATTTAATCTAAAATGTTAGAATTCAAAATAATTTAAAGGTTTTCGTACTTTTAACCCACATATAGAGTAGTTACATTGTGTAAAAAAAACATTCTTAATGGTAGTGTTGTTAAACGGCTCGTTTTGAGTCGATTTTTAAAAATGGCTAACTCAATATTCCATCCTAAAAAATATTACGCAACTCTGAAAATTTTGTTCATAAAAGGAACAAAGGTCTAGACCTATATTATCGAATCTCTAAGCTTAGGCAATATTTTTCTGGCTAAAATATTGAGTTAGCCTTTTATAAAAATCGGCTCAAAACGAGCCGTTTAACAACACTACTCAATGGTGGAGACGATTGTTATAAACGGATAACTCAATATTTTTTGATAATGCCTAAGCCTCGAGATATCTCTAATAGATGTGCAAACCTTTGTGTTATCTGTAGGTAATATCTCCAGGCTTGCGTAATATTTTCTGAATAAAATATTTAGTTAGACGTTTTTTAAAAATGGCTCATATGGAGCCGTTTATTAACACTAGTTCCGAGTATAGTCGCACATACTGCCCTGCCAAACAGGTATTTTTAAAAGAGTGAAAGTCATAATTATCTACTTTTCATCGCTTAAATCCTATTTTTATTACAATATCGATGCATCTTTACAGTCATTTGAACTGCTCAAATTAATGTGCATGAAATTATCCTTAGAAACATATAATGAAGGTTCTTAAAAATAATGTTAAAAAAACGATATCAAATAACTAATTTTATAGAAAAGGCAAATATTTGATAGACACTCGGTTAAGCCGTTAAATTTATATGATACTGTTAACAACAGCACACCAAATGTTTTCCAGTGAGTAAACAAAGCTCTGAAAAGACTAATCAGACCCTGGACCGAATTGAACCCGGAGTTCCGATTCTAATAATTAAAATGTGATGATTAGGCTTAATTCTTGGTCCGAACCCGAAATAACCGGTGTAGAAAATCTTTTAAAACCGAAACAAAATGAAGGTTACGTTAATTATATACGACATTACAATCACAAAAGGATGTTTGCTCATACGAATTAAATTAATGTATTTGTTGATTTATTTATAAACTAATTGATTTTAAAAAAAAATTTATATTATGATTTCCAAAGTTTTTCGTTTTGATAAAAACTTAGATATAATAAGTTGATATAACGGAAATAATTTTAGGCCAAATTATAATATAATATGCTTTAAGGCTATAAGACCTAAATTTAATTTATATTTTATAAATTACATTTTGAGGCTTTATTATGAATTAATTGTTCATTTTAATATTACATATATTTATGTCGTGACGATGATATCTATTTCCTTCATTTCGTCTAAATTTGGCTTAATAAGATGGTTGGTTGTTTTAACTAAGCCTGAAAAAAAAACAAACGAATAAAAACTCACAAATTATGCAATGAATTATATATTTTAAATTCATAGTTTACAAGTTTTCTAATTATAATCTTTTACAATCTTTTGCAAGATGAAGAACAATATAAAATATAAAGCTAATTCACTATTAACAAAGTGTGATGTGGGCTGTGAGTATAATATTTCTGGTCTGTATAAAGTTTTGAAACTAAATATTATAAAAAGAATTTAACCTTTATCTGTGAAATCTATACTATAAAACAATTAATAATATTCTATTTTAAGAGAGAAAATATTAATGTAAAACAATAAAATAAATTCTTGAAAGAGTATTTTTAAAAAAATTTTTTACTATGTTTAAAATTCGATATTTTAAGACTAAGCTGTCGTAGTTTTTATTTCGCTTATAACTGGTTTTTTATTTAGTTTATTAAAAAATCTGATTGATGAATTAGTAATACTAATCGTGCTTTATAAATTGTTCATTGCTTCTCTAATTATACTTCTAACACGAGGCCAATTTTGATATTTTATTTTGCTAATAATGTTTTTTTTAAACCATCTACCAAAAGGTTGACTACCTAAAATAAAGATCAGAGATAATACTTTATCTTAAATGCCTTTACCCTGAAGGCGTGATATTATCAATCTAATTGGTTCGTAATTGGTTACTATTTTGTGGCTTGCGAAATTGATTAAAGAATTAATAAAAGGCACTATATATTATCACAAAAAAGGCTAGTTATTAATTCTATATTCTTATTCTGGCATGATGCTAATTTTGACTATTTTTAATTTTCTACTAATAATTTTTTTCCCTTTAAACTCTCTACCAAACTTAATAAAACGATAAAATGTTATAATAAAGCCATTCTTAATTGTTTGATATAAGTTTCAGATTTTTCCAAAAACTTGGTTAGCTTCACGCTTAAAGCGTGACGTGGATAACTCAGCTTCTTCTTGTGGTTCTCATATTTTCTTGAGGAATTAAGAGTACTAGTCAGGCACTATATATTAGCGCAAGCCTATTTCTATTTTTCATTCTAACAATAATGCCAATTTTTTATTCTTTCTTCTGTCTGCCAAATGAATTAAATTAATTTACAATTGTGCACTAAACATTGATAATTTCAGAATAATGCTTTCAATCGCTTTTTAATCTTGAGTTTTAGCCAAAATTTTGTTAAAATATATTTTTTTATTTATGCTGACTACCTGAACATTAACATATTTTAAAAATCCAATTTTTCAGCTAACTTTAACGGAGATGATATAGAAGATATCACGGAAAAATCAATAATCAATATTTTTTATAGGACCGTTTATCCCCCCCCCTCTCCCCCCATAGAAAAATCAAAGAAAGAAATTTAAACTTCATAAAAGACTTGAGCAAAGTATCCCTACCATTGATTCTATCTTAGGCAGAGAATACTCTTCCAAATACTGAGCAGAAACTTTATCAGTTTTGCTTATTCACTCCCCAACAACAACGACGTAAATTTTTATTCCTCCCTCATTATTTCATTCTTTCTATACTCTTTTATTATATATTTTAAATTCGCTCTGTAGTATTTGTCTTTTGACAATTATATAATTGTAATGTAATTATATATCATAACAATGTTGCAAGTATTTTTGAAAAATTGCTGTTTGTTTACACACAATAACTTGTTATATTTAAACAAAAAAATAATTATTACAAATTTTCGGATTGCAATTAGAAAAGTAACCAGTTACTTTTAAAAATATGAATATTTATATATATGATCTTTATATGATGATTTCCAAAATTTAAAATGAGTGTTTATTAAATATAATCTCTCACATCTATCGTTCCTCTAGAACGTTTGGTTAGTTTAGGGAAGCTTATTTTTGGGAAAAAACCCAGAACCTTTTTTGAAAACATTTTATTGTTTAAAGTCAAATTCAAAAAAAAATATGAAATAATAAATATTATTGTGTTATGTTTTTTTTCGGTGCATATAAATATTATAATGATGTATATTTTTTTCCAAAAGTAAGTTTTAACATTTTAAATCATTAATTGAGCGCTTTTTATTAAATTTAAAGATCTAATTTTGGCAGAAATGCATTCCAATATGTATTGAATGCCTACGCTATAAATTTCAGATAATTTTATCACCATATTTTGAAAACATTTTAATTTTTCCATAATTATTCCAAATATTTTTAATTAAATTGAAATTTCTTTAAATGTTCATTAAAAAATATCTGAAATTTATAGGGTGGTATTATATACCCTATTGGAATGCATTTTCGGCAAAAATCAGATTTTTAAATTTAATATCACATTCCCTAATATCCGTATAACCTACGACTCTACCATAGTTTCTTTTGACAATGATACATATTAAAAATTATTCGTAAAGCATTCTATCTAACCCTTCCTCCTCCATCACTCATGTTTTTCGATTGCATATGACCAATTTTTCTACAAGATTCAACAGGTCTCTACATAAATGATCAAATAATCCTCTCACTTCCATCATCTTCCTATGTAATAGAATAGTCTCTTGTGACACCCTACCTTTTGTCCAACCAATTTTATTTTGATCTCGTGCTTACAAAACCTAATAAAAATATCAGACTCATTGCAATTCAACGTTCATTTGTGCCAGCCTTCTCTTTCGCGCCCTCAAAGTTGATAGGGACATCATTATCGCCGTAGAAAGGGTAAAATCTAAAAAATATCAAGATATTCCTCATCATTATTTTTCATCCCATTTTTCCTAACCACTATGACATTCGGGTCAAAAGTACAGAGTTTTATCAAAACACGTGGTAATAATAACTCTCAAAACTGCGGACCCGAAGGAAGGCTTTTATTATTTTCGTCACAGATTTGCCATAATAGTTGTAGATTTATACTTATTATGTTTGGTGATCTCAATTCCTGATTAAGGACAGACTTATCTCGAGGATTTAATAATTTGTCTTTTCATTCACGTGTCATGTTATTATCTGATTTTTTCAATTGTATAATTATTATTTTTATTAAACTTTAATGATTAGTATTATAAATAAGTTATAAAGTAACTTTGTAATGTAACTAGCAAGTAGTTACCCTTTTAAGAATGAAGTTTTATCCGTTATTTTGCATTAAATACCGAAAAAAAAGCATTTATATTAGAATAACGTTTCAGAAAAGAAGCTAATAAATTGGAAATAGAGTTTTTTGATATTCTAATATATATATAACAAATCTCATCAGTCAATACTCAGATTGCCTTAGTCAAATTGTGTAACATCTCATAGATGTGTCTGAAATTTATATGATAGGTATTCTACACAAAATTTAATAAAACGCGCTAAATAAATCATTTAAAGTTGGTTGATCATCTGTTTAAATTGATTTTTTTAAATTTCAATAATCTGATTCCCCCCTCCCCTCAAAATATATTCCAGAATGTCTAGAATATCAATGCTATAAATTTTTTGTAACTTTCATAGTTAGTATGTATGCCGGTAAGAGAACTGACTGACTATGCGATTTGGCTGTCACATATATTATATATATGCAGAGTTAAACCTTAAATATAAATTTTAAAAAAAGTATTAGTTACTTTGAAATTTCTTGGAAACACTGAATTTTGACTTTTACACTCACATGACGGCAGTGTAATGTTATATGTAAAACATTCTCCTATAAAATGCCACATAATCTAATATGGGCATAAACTTATAAGCCACATATTGCTAACAATGATCAAAAATTATCATTTTAAATATTTTTATAGTTTAAACCAATATATAGAAAAATAAATATTCTAAGAGTTTATTAAATAAATAATAAAATTTGACTGTTCAGTTGTCATATGACTTAGTATCGTATACTTATATTGGCCCAAAATATTTATAATATTTATAATACCTAAAACTTAATTCTAAATGACATAAGTCCTAGGAGAAAATTTTAAATAATTAAAATTTGATTGCTCAGCTGATTTAATCCTAATAATCTAGAGAGGTCACTATTGCTGTCAGTCTTGGTGATAAATTATTTATTTTTGAGGTCAAGTGTTAAAAAATATCTTATATTTTTAAATGTTAGAATTTTATTTTATATCGGAATTACGACGCTGACCATTTTGATCGAAAATAAACGCCCTTTTGATATTTGGGTATATTTGCATATCATATGGAAAGCTTATTAAATATAATTTTTTTTAATAGTCCATAAAAATTTCAATTAGAACACCAAATTTTGGCCTCACACTTGTTTAACAGCCTGCTGGCCATGTTGACAGAAAATGATTTTTTTAATCTACCTATTATTAGTTTAAATTATGCCTATAAAAATAATAATAAAATTTAACTGCTTTATGGCCTAATTAAGACCTTAAATTTTAAATAGACCATCTGCTCACCATATTGATCGATGTTTTTAAAACATTTATTTATACACTTAATCTTAGGTGGCAAGCACATTATCCTAAAAATATTTTAAAAATATTAAAATTTGATCGCTCAGGTCCACCTATTTCTGCCAGTCTTTATTAAAAAATAACTAAAAAAAAAATTGGTTTCTAGTTAAGTCATGTTATGTGTAGAAGAATATACTATAAAAAAAAATTAACTTTGTTATGTAGAACAGTAAATTAGGAAGATACCCTCTGGCTATATGGATTGAAAAATATTATTGTGGGTAATGTCATGTATAAAACATAATCCCACTTCTTTTTTTTATAACCGAACAAATTATAGTTTATCAAGCAATATTGAATGATAAATAATTATTGTTGGGGTTGGTGATAGTATTGGGTTAATCCTCAAAAGCATTTGCTATAAAAAAATAAGTGAGCATTGAGCGTGGTGATTACAGACCCAAATTTTAAACTGCTATATCTTGTGAATAAAAAATTTTTTTGATATTGTCACAACCAACAGAGCAAGAATAATTACAATAATTGATGCAATCATTTGGTTAGGGAGGCAGGGCTTAGAATTAAGAGCTCATAGAATATCTGCTGGCCCCTTCACACTTACATACTCTTCTCATAATGAAGTAAGTTTCAAGTAATTGTTGAAACTTTTATGTAATAATTATGATAACTATAAGCTTTTTGAAAGCTCTACTAAAAATGCTCAAAATGAAATAATAGCCATATGCAATAGGTTTATATTAAGAAATTTCTTCAAAAGTGAAAGCATCACCATTTTTTAGTGTTTTGGCGGATGAGACTTCGGATGTTAGTAACATAGAGTAATTATCCATAGCAGTAGGATTTATTGATATGGAATCAGGTGATTTCAAAATGAAGGAACACTTTATTCAATCTATTGACTTACATGACACTAAATCAAAGATGTTAGCCAAAAATTTTTAGCATCCATTCAAGACCTATTTAAATTTAAATCTAATGAGAGGCCAAGGAGCTCCCTCGATGAGTGGTCACGTTAAAGAAGTGCAGTCAAGAATTAGAGAGCTTTATAGCACAGCTCTATATGTTCACTGTAGTTCACATTGCCTAAATTTGATGATATATAGGCATGCGAAATTCGAGACATCCGGAACAGTTTACGTAAAAATATTTTAATTTAATTGGAATTTATTGGATTTTATTATGTATTATAGATATCTTTTTATAATTCTAATATATTTTTCAAAATATAGAAACAATATCATCGGTTTGTGATTTTTACACACCACCCAAGAAGAGGCAGCTTTTGATTCAAATAATCAAAAAAAAACTAAAAAGATTTTGCCCAACTATTTATAGAAAGACAACAATCAGGGAGATTTTTTATCGAATTATATGAAGTTATTTTTGTAGCGCTCGAATCCTACATATCAATTTAAGTAAAAGATTCCGCAGATGCTGAAAATCTTTTTCAGGCTATTACGAAGCCACATTTTTAATATCAATTCAATGTGTATATTTTCTATTAAATTATACATATGATTTTAGCAAATGCTACAAAATATTGATTTGGATTTAAGAGAGGTTATGAATTGGGCAAAGGATAATGTTGTAATATTAACAAATAGAGATAATGTGAATGGAAATTTCATTAAATATACGAGAAAGTAAAGGAGATAGCTAATATGTTTGGGATTGAAATCTTTAAACCTAGAGTAGTTTTTAGACAGTCCAATCGCTTAAATATTGATGCATTTACGATTGAGGATTTTTATAAAATAAATATTTTATTCCCCTTTTTGATACATTTTTACTTCAATTAAATGAAAGATTTATTAGTCATAATTTTATTTTAAAAAGCTTTTATTTTCTTCTGCCAGTTGAGTCTGAATTGTTGATAACACTTGAAGCATGAGAGGATATTAAGAAAATCTCATTTACATAATAAGTTACTTTGTGATGTCGTATTTTGGTATTGAGATCAAAAAATTTGCAGGCCCTTTTCATGTGTAATTGCACTTTATATTCTCTGCCTATTTTTAATAAAAGTATTGCATTTGCAATATGAATTATTTATATTTTGATTCATTTGTATTAATTATAATTGTTAAATAATATTTTTTTTAAATACCGTACAAGAATTACTTATATTTTATTGAATTATATTTTTTTAAATATAGTTATATACAATAAATTTTTAATATAATAATCTGTATAAAATTTATACATTTTGAAATTTATTTTATTGTATTTTATCATTAAAATAAATAAGGGATGTTATTTATACCATATTATTTTAACAATAAATAAAATCAATTCTCTAAAATTTAATTAAAATTATTATTATTTGATCATAAAAAATGGAAGGCACTGTAAGCAAGGCTATTCAAATAGCTAAAACAAAATTAATAATGAAATAAAATCGATCAGTTAGAAGAGGAACATAGCGATGATATAAATATAATTAAAAAAGTTAATAGTGATAAACAATCAAAATCATATAATAATTATGATACGAGCTACAAAAAACCAAATCCCTGCCACTCCTGTGGCGAAAACCATAGAAGGGAAAATTGTTTTTTCAAGAATGCCACTTGTTATAAATGCAACCAAATTGGGCACATTGCTCAAGTCTGTAGAAAAGGAATAGTTAAGTTTATTAGCAAAATAATTTTTTATATCAAATGTATTTTTTTACCATAATAAAAAAATTAAATATAAAATAAAAATATATATTTCACTTTGCATAAAAATTTTGTATTCATTTTCTTAAACGTTTTTAAGACAAATGCGCCCTAATCCAGCGGTGCGGCGAATGCCGTTCCTTAATTGTGTTATATTTACATATTTATTTTATAACTTATATTTTTGTGTATATATATATCTCGTAGAAAAATCATTTTTTTTAGATAATATTGATATTTTCTTTTCCGAAAATTATTTTGATGTCGTTATAAATGTTTTTAATAAAACTTAGATAAAAAAACATAATGTGTTTGGATAAAAATTAATGCGTCTACTAGGAGTTAAATCAGCCATTTATTTCAATTTAAAATGATATAATTTTTAAATTACAATAATAAAATATATCTAATATAACAAGTCATATATTAAAAATGAGTGTAAATTTTAAAAATATCGATGGCTCTAAAAAGAGCTTATAGTAAAAAAGTACCTAAAAAACATGTATAATAGAAAATTTCCGCGAGATGGAGCATTTATAAAAATAAAGTTTACATTTTTTTATACAACAAAAATGATGGTTTGATTTACAACAAAATTTTTGTATATATTCTATACTAACAATGACATAAATTTATAATTGTTGTATAAAAGTTTTTTGATTTTTTTATGGAAGAATAAATAAATTGATAAATTAAAAAAATTAAAAATAATCCCATATAATTCATGAAAAAGTAAAAGTTTATAAAAACAGGAAAATATGTTTTGTATAATGGAAAAATAATTGGCTCTAAAATTATTATATTTTTAATTTATTTTTAAATTTAAGCTTTCTTTTCTCTCAACATGATGAAATAAAATGTTTTTATATCTATGGACTATGACTATGAGTTTAATTAATATTTGGAAATGACTAAGGGATCCTAATTCCTAATCTAGCATATGCAGTGCCAAACTGGAAACCAATTTTATTAGGAAATACATAATTCTCTAACATATGTGCAACCTTTTTATATTTAATAAATTTTTTATTCAGTGTTTGAAAATAAGCATGTTATTTGACATCATCTTGTGATAAAAGATGAAAGGTATACCCCCTCCGTTATTTCTAATATTAACTAAATACCAATCAATATCGCTTAAATCATCTTGATATATTAATGCTATTCAAATTAATAATTAAAGAAGATATATATATACATACTTACAATTAATTGTTACTTTAATATCAGAGACCTGCAGAGGTACCATTTGTACAGTCCGGCCCGGGTTTTTAAAAAATATATTATATTTATTTTTAATTTTTATAGGTAATAATGGCGATTTAAAATATTTGGCCCGGGTATATTTAAAAAAGTTAAAAGACGACTTTTATCAAAAATATTTTTTAAAGTATTTAAACCCATGATATGGCTTACCATTCCAGTGGATATGCTTCCTTATGGACATTTCTTTCATTGAAATTGCCACATATGTAAGTCAATTAGATTTATTTCGTATATATTTTGTTGATGGAAGAATTTAAAAATCCTGTAAAAACACATTTATATAGTTGATAAAATGAAATCACAGAGATTATTATTTATAGTTGGGATAAAAAGATAAAAATGTTCACTCTATAGAATAAGTATTTGTTTGATTTTTAAAAAATCTCTTTTAACCACATGGGTTCACTTACTTAAAAGCAAGGCTGTGAACCCCCTTCTAAAAAAGGGTTGAAGTTTGTGTTTGGGTTCAGTGAAAAATCTCTGAACCAGGTTCGGATTCAAATTCAGGGATCGGTATCCAAAAAATTTTAAATTTACATAAAATGGGTACACTAAAATAAAAACGATTCACGAAAAATTTTCCATAAAAAAATGTTTTTAACATTGAAAAAAAAAAATATGTTTTAAATAAAATTTTTAGTAATTAATTATTTCAAAATATATTTTGTCCATAGATGTATACTAATGAAAACTATATTAGGATAAAATTTTAACCTTCTGGTATATTTAATTTTAAAATGAGATTAAGTGGTTTGCCAAGCCCCGGGGTTTACCTAACCACAGTCTCCCCTATTTTTTAAAAACCGTTCAAATTTTTTGAATTTAAAAAAAAATCAAACAAAAGAAAGAAATTTTATGGGTGCTCCCGTTGGTGAACACACAGCCATATCATCCTTCCTACAATCTACACTCGAAACCCTTAATGAGTTGGCTGACCTATTTTCCCTTCTCCCCTCTCATAAAGCCTTTTTTCTCCTGAAAAATTTCTTCAATATCCCAAAAATTCTTTACGCGTTCCGCTCTACCCCTATTTTTAAATTTCCCACTTCCTTAGGCATTTATGAAAATGGGATTAAAGTCCTAATTGAAAGTATCCTTAATATAAAATTCCATGAATTAGCATGGACACAAGCCACCCTTCCTACCAAGATGGGAGGACTAGGCATCAGATCCCCTTCCGATCTTGACTTAACTGCCTTTATATCGAGCTGTCTTTTAACCAAAAATTTAGTCAATCCTAATTCCTTAAATTCTGACCCTTCCTTTGATAGTGCCATCATTGAATGGAAATCTCGATTCATTGCCGACCACCCAATTCCAGAAACGAACAAGCAGAAGGACTGGGATAAGCCATTATTGCAAGCTGCGTCGAATCTCTCCTTTCCAGTATGCAATCATTGGACCGTCCCTTATCTCCTCTCTGCTTAATGGTTCTGGACATGAGTTTCTCGAAGCCATTCCATCCGCGAACTTACAATTACAATTGACCCAAAATGAGCTAACTCATGCTATAGGCAACCGTTTAAATTGCTTAGTAACCCAACCCCACATCTGTGCCGGCTGCAGTTCTGCTGTTTTGAGTGGAAGACATAGTCTACATTGTCGTTCATGTAAAGGCCGCATCGTTAGACATAACATTTGCAATTCTATAATTCTTAGAGCTCTGAGATCCGCTCAAATTCCTTCTATTCTCGAAACCTCTGGTCTTTTCAGATCTGATGGAAAACGCCCTGACGGGATCTCTCAAATTCCCTGGAAGCGAGGTCAATTCTTGGTCTGGGATTACTCTTGTATTGATCCATTGGCTCCTTCCAAGCAATCCTTTAACATTCTGGAGAACAAGGAGCTTCTAAAAATTGCAAAATATTCAGAGATAGCCCAAGATCACTTTTTCATTCCCATCATTTCCACTACCTTGACTACCTTTGGGAATCGTGCTCTTTCTTTCTTCAAGGAACTTGGATCGCTAATCCGTAAACTAACAGATGAACCTCGTGAAGGCTTCTTCTTAAGACAAAGACTCGCCATAGCAATTCACAAGGCTAATTACATCAGCTTCATTGGCAGCCTCATCTCACATGATGATTAGAATATATTTTATATAATTTTATTCGCGTAATGAATAATTTATTTATATAATAACTTTTCAATGTTCATTTTTATTTATGAATTATAATTCGAAGAAAAATAATATAATAAAATAATTGAAAGATAAAAAAAAAATATAAAAAATAAAAATAAAGAAAAAATAAAATAAGTAAACATAAAAAAAAATCCTTGTAACCTGTCTATATTTAAAAAAAGGTTTCATTCAAAGCCATTACAATTCTCTATAATAATAGAGATCATAAATACAATAGAAAAAAAATAAGTTGGAGATATTACATATTTTGATCCAGTATTTGATTATTTATAAGTTTTTTGAATAAACTTAAATTTTCTTGCATAAAACTTGTCAAGTTTGTCATATTCCTTTTTAAAAAGATATACTTTGTCAATTTCATTATGAAGATCCAATCCTTAATTTATTCCTATTTCAATATAATGCTACAACTCTATATGGTTACCTTCTTATGCCGCTATTAAATATAAAAGTATCAGACATATAAAATCTCATATTTTAAAAGATGATAGGATTTTTTAGTTTATTTAATTACTTCTGTGCTTCTAAAATCTTCGTTCTATCTTGTTTAATGAGATTTAAATTAATTCTATATTACAAACCGAAAAGAAAAAAACAACTAAAGATTATAGAATAATAAGATTCAAAAATTACTTGGATTGGGGAAAGAGAAATCTTAATGTATTACCAAATTGATTTATGAAAATTTATAATTCGATATTTAAGATTCAGCCTAATATTTTCCCTCGCTTATAACTGGTTTTTATTTATTTACTGAAAAAATCTAATAATATACCAATTTCGGCAATTTATTTAATTTTCCAAAAATGTTTTTCTTTAAACTATCTTTCAAGCGGGTTGAAGCAGTAAAGAAGTATGAAATACGCACTAATTATTGACATAAATTTTCAAGATAATGCTTCCTGATGTTTGGCTAACTTTACACTTAAGACGTGGTATCATAGTTAGTTTTCGGTTCATAATTCGGTAACTTTTTTAATGACTGGCGAAATAGATTAAAAAATTAATAAGGCGTAAATATTAGAAAGCCAGTTAGTTAGTACTACTTTTGGCATGATGCTAATTTTGACTATTTTATATTTTTTACCAATAATTCTTTTCCTCTTTAAATCAACTATAAAAGAGAATAAAGTAATAAAATCTACCAATAAGGCCCTACTTAATGGTTTAGTATAAGTTTCAGAATTAGTGTTTCCAACATCCTGGCTCACTTCACGCTTGAGCGTATCGTTATAGTTTTCATTTTGCTTATAACGTTTCTTTCTATGATTATCATTTGAGTAAGGAATCAAATATTTGTGCAAGCCCCGATATCTATTTTAGTAATTTTCTTCTTTCTTTATTCTGTATACCAAATAGATTAAATTAATATACAATTATGATCTATACATTGATAATAAATAAATGCTTTCATAACTTTTTAATCTTAAGGTAGGTCAAATTCTTGTTAATAATAATTTTTTCCTTTATACAGACTACTATACTGGTTAAAGTCAGACACTAATAAAGCAAAAAATATTGTCATTTTAGAATTAGGGCTTGTTCAGCCAACCTTAACGGAGATTATATAAAAACCACCGAAAAATCAATAACATATAAGAATTTTTTATACCGAAAAATTAATTGTGAAATGAAACATTCTAATTTTAGTTAAACAAAAAAAAACTTTTACATTAATTTTAAATTTATATCATTTTATATTATAAAATATATATTCATATTCTGTTGTAAATTAAACTGCTATTTTTGTTAATGCTCCATCTTGCGGAAATTTTTTTGGTTCTTTACTTCAGATTTAATAAATGTTATGTTTAATTTTACAACTACAAAAACAAATTTATTCTTAAATTACATTATGATACTTCTATTTAAAAAATATAATTTATATAAGGAAAATAAAAAGTTAGATTTGAATATTATAATACAAAATAAATTAATTAAGTAGAAATATAAATCGCGAAGGGTCATTCGATATAACATAAGAAGAAAAAAACTTAATTTACGGTCAATAAAATAACACTCAATAATTTATAATATTGTTTCTCAATAATCTCACCGATTATTATTATATTTTATAATTTCTCAATAATCTCACCGATTATTATTATAACTTAATATTAATGGTTAGAATTTTGAACATATTACTACTATTTAACATTTCTTTATTTTATAACTTTTTTTAAAATTAATTCCAATATTTTTATAAAACAATCATAAAAAATCATAATAATTCTCAAAAAATGTCTATAAAAATTCTTTTCTTGTTTTACAATTCATATATTCCTCCGCGTTAATTCTTTATCAATCAATATAAACAAAAATCAATATTTTTTATGTTTCTAAATATATATTAATAATTGATTGACATTTATCATCTAATAATAATAATATAATATTGATAAATATATATATATATAATATACCAACATATATGAAATATCTAATACAAATATATATGAAATATATATCACGACCGCCCTAAAAAAAACCAAGACGGAATAATTAAAAAAAATATGTCAACTTGAAATTTCTATATTTATTCATTATCTTTGTCCTCTTTCAACATCTCGTTTTCTTCAGTTTCCATACGACTATATTTCTTTTGTAAACCCATATTGTCGTTCATTTTAATCACTGTCGAACTCATTTTGGTAGCCTTGTCACTGATAGTTGGCGTCTTAGCATAATATTTGAATTTATTCTCTATCAATGTATTTGATTCTCTCAGGTTTTTAGCTTGTATTTCTGTCAATTTTTTCCCTATTCCATCATAATTGGTCGATGGCCATGGTCGATTTCCATACTGTTGATTATAAGATTCAATTTCGTTTCTTTTATTATAGTTTACATATCTATCCCCAGATAGTACATTTTTAGTTTTTCCACAGAAATAACTGGTTGCAGGAACTTCCTCCGAGTCACTCATATAATCATTACACTCTTGGTTCATCAATACCTTAGTTGGTATCACAATTTTTAATTGAGTGTCCGAAACTTCGGCATCTAAAGCAACGCTTATAGCTGTCCACACTGGGCTTTTTAATAGATATTTTTCTCCTTTTT